TGCCATGGCAACAGTCCTTTTCTTATTTTTGTCGAAGTGTTATTCTGTATGTCTTCGATCCCCAAAGAGGAAGCAAACACAGAACAGTGAGAAGGCCTCGCTGGTCTGGCACGACAGCGCTAATATTGGCAGGAGCTTAACAATAAAACCAAGCAGAAAATTGTAATAGTTGGAGAAATTGCTTCTTCCAAGGAAAATTGTTCTCTAGAATTAATAATTATAACTGCTAACCGCATCAGACTTGACATTAGCTCAGCAAAGCCTAATTTCACAGCATTCCCTCTAGCTGTAGTCATCGCTGGCTTAACCGATGCGTGAGTTTTAGAAAAAGGTTATGTGAACAATATTTTATAGCCTTCTCTAAAATTATATTTTTCTTAAACACACATCGCGTGCTTGTCCTAGTCTCCTATCAATCATTCCGGTAGTCTACGTCCCCCTATATATCACGTGTGTGTCCACGTCCTCCTATATATCATGTGTGTGTCCACATCCTCCTATATATCACGTGTGTGTCCACGTCCTCCTATATCACGTTTTTGTCCACGTCCTCCTATATATCACGTGTGTGTCCACGTCCTCCTATATATCACGTGTGTGTCCACGTCCTCCTATAGATAACACTTGTATGTCCACGTCCTCCTATATATCACGTAGGGGTCCACGTTCCCCTGTATATCACGTATGTGTCCACGTCCCCCTGTATATCACATGTGTGTCCACGTCCCCCATTATATCACGTGTGTGTCCACGTTCCCCATTATATCATGTGTGTGTCCACGTTCCCCTGTATATCACGTGTGTGTCAACGTCCCCCTATATATCATGTGTGTGTCCACGTCCCCCTATATATCATGTGTGTGTCAACGTCCCCCTATATATCAAGCTTTTGTCAACGTCGCCCTATATATCATGTGTTAGTCCACGTTACCCTGTATATCAAGTTCGTATGTGTCCAAGTTCCCCTGTATATCACGAGTGTATCCACGTCCCCCTGTATATCAAGTTTGTGTGCACGTCCCCTTATATATCATGTGTGTGTCCACGTCCCCCTATATATTATCCACGTCCCCCTATATATCACGTGTGTGTCCACGTCCCCCTATATATCACGAGTGTATCCACGTCCCCCTGTATATCAAGTTTGTGTCCCCGGCCCCTTATATATCATGTGTGTGTCCACGTCCCCCTATATATCCCGTGTGTGTCAACGTCCCCCTATAAATCAAGTTTGTGACCACGTCCCCCTATATATCATGTGTGTGTCCACGTACTCCTTTATATCATGTGTGTGTCCACGTCCCCCTGTATATCAAGTGTGTGTCCACGTCCCCTTATATATCATGTGTGTGTCTACGTCCCCCTATATATCACGTGTGTGTCAACGTCCCCCTATATATCATGTGTGTGTCCACGTCCTCCTTTATATCATGTGTGTGTCCACGTCCCCCTGTATATCATGTGTGTGTCCACGTCCGCCTATATATCACGTGTGTGTCAACGTCCCCCTATAAATCAAGTTTGTGTCCACGTCCCCCTATATATCAAGCTTTTGTCAACGTCGCCCTATACATCACGTATGTGTCCACGTTCCCAAGTATATCACGTATGTGTCCACGTTCCCATGTATATCACGTATGTGTCCACGTTCCCCTGTATATCACGTATGTGTCCACGTCCCCCTATATATCATGTGTGTGTCCCCGTCCCCCTATATATGTCATGTGTGTGTCCACGTCCCCCTATATATCACGCGTGTGTCAACGTCCCCCTATATATCATGTGTGTGTCCACGTCCCCCTATATATCAAGCTTTTGTCAACGTCGCCCTATATATCACGTATGTGTCCACGTTCCCATGTATATCACGTATGTGTCCACGTTCCCATGTATATCACGTGTGTGTCCACGTTCCCCTGTATATCACGTATGTGTCCACGTCCCCCTATATATCATGTGTGTGTCAACGTCCCCCTATATATCAAGTTTGTGTCCACGTCCCCCTATATATCATGTGTGTGTCCACGTCCCCCTATATATCATGTGTGTGTCCACGTTCCCCTATATATCATGTGTGTGTCCACGTCCCCCTATATATGTCATGTGTGTGTCCACGTCCCCCTATATGTCACGTATGTGTCACCGTCCCCCTATATATCAAGTTCGTATCCACGTCCCCCTATATATCATGTGTGTGTCAACGTCCCCCTATATATCAAGTTTGTGTCCACGTCCACCTATATATCATGTGTGCGTCCACGTCCCCCTATATATCAAGCTTTTGTCAACGTCGCCCTATATATCACGAGTGTGTCAACGTCCCCTATATATCACGTATGTGTCCATGTTCCCCTGTATATCACGTGTATGTCCACGTCCCCCTGTGTATCACGTGTGTGTCCACGTCCCCCTGTATATCATTTGTGTGTCCATATCCCACTGTATATCATGTGTGTGTCCATATCCCACTGTATATCACATGTGTGTCCACGTCCCACTGTTTATCATGTGTTTGTCCATATCCCACCTATATCATGTGTGTGTCCATATCCCACTGTATATCACATGTGTGTCCACGTCCCCCATTATATCACGTGTGTGTCCACGTCCCCCTGTATATCACATGTGTGTCCACGTCCCACTGTTTATCATGTGTGTGTCCACGTCCCCCTATATATCATGTGTGTGTCCACGTCCCCATTATATCATGTGTGTGTCCACGTTCCCCTGTATATCACATGTGTGTCCACGTCCCCCTATATATCATGTGTGTGTCCACGTCCCCCTGTATATCATGTGTGTGTCCACGTCCCCTTGTATATCATGTGTGTGTCCACGTCCCACTATATATCATGTGTGTGTACACGTTCCCCTGTATATCACGTGTGTGTCCAGGTCCCCCTGTATATCATGGGTGTGTCCACCTTCCCCTGTATATCATGTGTGTGTCAACGTCGCCCTATACATCACGTGTGTGTCAACGTCCCCCTATATATCAATCTGTGTCAATGTCCCCATATATATCAAGTTTGTATTAACGTCCACCTTTAAATCACGTGTGTGTCCACGTCGCCCTATATATCAAGTGTGTGTCAAATTGCAACGTCCCCCTGTATATCACGTGTGTGTCCACGTCCCCCTGTATATCACGTGTGTGTCCACGTCCCCCTGCATGATAAGTTTGTGTCCTCGTCCCCCTATATATCACATGTGTGTATCCACGTCCCCCTTTATATCATGTGTGTGTCCACGTCCCCCTATATATCACATGTGTGTCAACGTCCACCTATATATCATGTGTGTGTCCACGTCCCCCTATATATCATGTGTGTGTCCACGTCCCCCTATATATCATGTGTGTGTCCACGTCCCCTATATATCATGTGTGTGTCCACGTCCCCCTATATATCACATGTGTGTCCACGTCCCCCTGTATATCACGAATGTGTCCACGTCGCCCTATATACCATTTGTGTCTCCACGTCCCCCTGTATATCACATGTGTGTCCATGTCGCCCTATATACCACGTGTGTTTCCATGCCCCCCTTGTATATCACGTGGGTGTTAACGTCCCCCTATATATCACGTGTGTGTCCACGTCATCCTATATACCACTTGTATCTCCACGTCACCCTACATTCATGTATCATGTGTTCGTCCACGTCCCCTTGTATATTACGTGTGTGTCAACGTCCCCCTATATATATCACGTATGTGCCCACGTCCCACTATATATCGCGTACATGTCCACGTCCCCATATTGATCGCGTACATGTCCGTATGCCCCTATACACCACGTAAATTTCAACGTTGCCTGTAACGTACATGGCCACGTCCCCTTATACTTCACGTTCAGGTCTAGGTCCCTATACACGACAGGGACATGATAATTCGTTATAGCTATTTTTAGTATATTTGGACCTAAACTAAGGTGTTCATAGTAATTTTACACGTTTTAAGAGATTAGACAACCAAATAATCATTCCGAGGGTTAAAGATTTGTCTGCTGAATAATATTCCATGTGATTGACGTCACAATGGGACAACGATGACGTCACGAAATCATGAACATGCAGATGCCCTGATGAGCGACGTCTTTTAATGGTTACTTTAAAAGACTCAGGTTTCAACCTATTTGAAAGTCACGTGATGGAATGTCCCTATCCTAAATCCAAGGACATAAAAATCCGTGTCCCATCATACAGGGCGCCACATCACGTTTGCGGTGGTTTTTTTTTTTAGCAATTAGCTATTCCTAGAAACATGTATATTTAACAACGACAACTGAACAGAACGTCCAATGCAATGTTAAAAGAAAGGTGATATTTCGACAAAAAGGGGTTTTCTCGAGTATGTGATAAGGACTCGATCAAGTAAAATATATATTGATGTCCAGAACATATCAAGAAAGTCTTGATACTTTTGGTTATAAAGTGAATGGGCTGATGCATACATATTCTATTCTTTGTGTGTCTCGAAGAGTGACAACTCGCATTTATACAACAGAAGTTACGCATTGTGCAATTGGAGTAGTGAAAATAACTGGTTGTAAAATTGAATGTCCTCCATATCAAAACAACCGCCGTTTATGAAGATAATTTTAACTAGTCCATATCGGTAATATGGTTTGTGCGTCAATTTATATACACAACTGAAGTCGATTCATTATAAATTTTACATAGGAAAAACTTAAGTGTGTAACTTGAAATCACTGATTAACGATACATAAGCTTAAATATAGAACTATCTCGTCCATAGTAAGAATCGGCATTTTATTCTCCAGGTCACACGTGCCTTTGATTTAAATAAAGTAAGGCTTGCTAGGATTTGATTTTAAATTGAAAGATATTGAGGTTGGTAGGCAACTAGAAAAAAAATCAAATCGGAATTCCAAGTTATCAAGTCCCTGTGTGTCATGCGAGTTCATATTTCCCGCTTTTTATAACTTCTTGTAAAGTTGCTGTCAAACGTCCAAATGATCCAGACTGAAAGCAGACGATACGCTTAGAGCTGAGTGAAAGGAGCAAAAGTGTCAACTTTCCAACTTGATCTGTTACGATGATGTTTTTGGTGTGCATGTGTCGGATATGTGACTTTGATGAAGGCTTATAATTTTGTACAGGTACCGTCTTAAGACTTGATCTTTGCAGTCATCTGCTGTGTCCTGAAGTTAAACGTCATGCCCATCTATGTAACCCTTGCCCTTGGCCAAAGAAAGGTGCCGGTGGTACATTTATTTTTTCACTTTGAATAACCGGTGTGGCAGTTAAATCTGCTTGTTATCCATGTTGTAGTGTTAGGTGACCAGTGTCAGAACCCGTAAGTCAGACATTGTCTAATAAACAGAGATATACCGGTGATATATATGCACTGGAAGACTTCAAGGCCAGGTTAAGTACCATCCCCACACACACTGGCCCAAGTCGCACCAATTATAGATACAGTAGCCATCCTATTTAGAATTATACTTTAGATTTACTTTTAGATTTAAACCTTCTAGATTTCTCTGATTTTCACATGTTGTTTTTGAAGCATCATATCTTCTCGAGCTGTGCAGAGTCCATTACACTCAATCTGACTCTGAGTACTACTCGTATCAGGAAGGTGAAGATATTTAATAACGTTATACAGTATTGTATTATGTGTATAACATGTACTCGTACTCTTTTTGAGGCAGACATCTATGATTGGATGAAAATGATGTTATTCTGTCATCTTCTCCATAGTGTTTCCCATCCTAGATTGTTGAGAAGTGACACAGGTTAATTTACCATGAGAGCTCAGATGTTTTTGAAAACTTCCATTTTCTGACTGTATTTTAAGGAGTTTTGTCCTTTTATTCAATTATCAAAATGGTGTTCGCTCAATAAATATACATGTATCAAGTTATTTTTAATGGATTAACTTCATGCAAACTAAATAAGCAGGTTAATTACCTTGAGAGCTCAGACAAGTTGGATAACCACCATTACCCGTCTATAATTTATGGAGTTATGCTCCCTGAATCAGTGGAGTGAGTATAATCACTATTATCTGACCATAATTAATAAATCTATTCCCCTTGGTTTCATTAAAGAAATACTACGTGCATTCCATGATGTTTTATTGCAGTCATTGATCTACCAGGTATGTTGAAATATTTCTCCTTTAACATCAGTTACACACAAATATTATTTTTCATATAAAGGGCCCTCTAAAATTGTATTTTGATTAAAAAATGCTGCTTTAAATGGCCCACTGCTCTCATCTTCCAGGATTTTCTCTGAACGCCCTGGATTGAAGGACTAACTCAGTGATTTTTCTACCTTTTTTAGACAGGGGGCTGAGCAGTGTTATTTTGGGAAAATATCACACAAACAAATCATGATTTTTGGAAGTAGTTTTTGCAACGATTTTTGGTAAATACAGCAGAAAATATTCGGGGGAAGGGTCCTTTATATGGCCCCAAATTCAACTAAAAGATCACTGTATCAACTCTTAAATAATCGCATCCTGTTTCATATCATGAATTAATAGAATTTAATTATTGTAGGATTCTGAATTTGGCTGTGGAGCAGAGAGTTTTTGCCATTATTTGACTCTTCACAACTTGAACCATGCTGATTTATAAAGGAATTGATTATTTGGACAATGTAAGTAATTGTTTTGAATCTAAATATATCTGTGCCAATTTGAAGTATTGAATTACAACAGTAGATGACATATTCGATATCAGAAGCAGTGGTGTCAATAACGTTTGGAGTAAGGGAGCATTTGAGAAAATAGGAGCAATACACAGAGACATTTCAAGACTTTAAAGGTTAAAATTATTATATAGCTGATTCAAGAGATTTAACCAGGCACATACGACAGAATATCCAGTGGGAAATAGCTGGATACAAGCTCTTATTGACAATTCAGAAGAACACACATATCTTTATTTTAAATTTTAAAATGTATGTAAATAAGTATAATAGTTTTTAGTATAAATAATATAAAATTGTGTATTTTATCATAGCCTGACAGCATATTTACTGGGGCTGTGGCAGTGAGGGGATCAACCACTTATTTTACACCCTGATTTTGCAGGCTCTTAGTCAACGGCAGAAGTTACTTCAGAAATATCTTGTTTCTGTACCCCATCACCTGGAGCATGTGGATATGTATAGCCATACAGGCAAGCTACGGGACAGCAACTTCAGGGAGCCATGGAAAAGAGGTATGACAATAAAGATGCTTTTAGGAATACAGTGGTGGATCTAGAGGTTTTTTTTACAAAGCTAAGGGATTTTTTTAAACCCATGTTGTTTCTTCATTTTAACCCAATGTGATTAGGTAATCCAGTTCACTTATAATTAATGTAAATTGATGTTCTTTAGGTTTAGTGTGTGAATCACTATTCTCATGCATTATTACGTGCTTTCATGTAGCGTATAGAAGTATTTAAGGCTTCCGGTTGTTGTTTTTGTGTGATTGGTATAAGAGTTATCTCTCTTGGTTCAGAGTGATGTCTGTCAGAATACATACATCCAAGCTAAGTTTGATCATTAAAAAGTGTAAATCACTTCATTAGCAATAAGATCTGTTAAAAATCACAGGATTTGAATTTTAACCATCCCTTCCCTTACCCTTTGGAAGTATAGAAATTGGAAAGGACCTCACCTGTTTTCAGGAATCCCATTTAAATTTAAGGACCAATTTAATTTGAAAAAAATATCATTTATAGAGTGCCCAGCACAAACCCTGGTGATGAAGGGGATCTAATTATATAGCACTGCAATCAGGTTGCATTTAATGGTTGTCACAATTTTGGACACAATTTTGCCTGCCCCAACGGGGGCCACACCCTCCGTGTATAATATACATACAAAATGATCATGAGTCCCCTTTGCTCAAGGATGCCATTGGTCAGATTTGGTTAAAAATCCCTCCATTTGTATATTATGAAAACTTTAAAATAATTCTCCTTGAACTTTTTCATGTGTATGTATTTAGTAGTATTTTCCTGATTAAGTGCCTTGCTAATTCAAAAGATTAATGTTATGAAGCAAATTTGACCACTTAAAAACGACTTTTTTTCTGTAAACAATCAACCCGCTTAGCTCTTGTACAATATTTACTGCATTTTTTATCCCCGCTTTCACCGAAACGGGGGATATTAATTTGGGTCTGTCTGTCTTTCACGCTTCGTTTCTATGCAATAACTACAACAAATGTTAACCAATTTTCTCCAAACTTGTTCACAGGGTTAAATACCTTAAGGGCTCGGCCAAGTTTGATGACCATTTTCAGCGGACACCATTTGGCGGAGTTATGGCCCCTTGAATAACGAAAACGTCATTATCTGCTGCGTTTCGTTTCCGTGCAATAACTACAATAAATGTTAACCAATTTTTTTTAAACTTGGTACCATGGTTAAATGTCTTAAGGACTCGACCAAGTTTTGTGACAACTTTTAGCGGACCCAATTTTGCGGAGTTATGGCCCGTTGAATAACGAAAAACATCACTGTCTTCCGTTTCTGTTCATTAACTCTCGCAAATAGTATCCGATTGTCTTCAAACTTTGTAATAGGGTTCAACACATTAAGGGCTCGGCCAAGTTTGACTCCATTTGGCAGAGTCATTATCTGCAGTTTCCACTTAATAACTCTAGCAAATATTAGATAAGGCTTATTTTCTTGGAGTTCCAAGCTATCCATTATGTCTCAACAGCACGATACTCACATGTCTAAACCTAACCTCAATAATGTTTACCTTCAATATGTCCTGAAAGCGGGGATATAAATTCCACGAATTTGCTTGTTCACTTTTATTTTAATATTTTAATAAAAAAAAAATACAAATCATTTTAGCAACAGTAGACAGAAAGCTGCTACAGACTGAAGGAACACGACTTAATGCTGAATTGACTTGTTTATCTGAATTAGTATCTAATCAAATTAAGGAAATTGAGTCTCTTGGAAGGTAAGAACCCTATTTCATGCAAATTTATGTAAACTGCTTAGTTTTGGTAGACCCAGGAGTTAGTATGGTAATTTTAATTACTATCGATCATTGTGAAGCGGCGTCTTGAGAGTGGAATTTTAAACTAGATGAAATGCACTCTTGTCAGTTGAGTTTTGTAAAATCAATGAGACAACGCATCTCTCTGGTCTTAATTCAAGTGTATGCCTGGTATGAATCTCTATGGACCAGGGATACGTACATGACCTGCTCGTAATCGGTACAGCTAGGTATCTTGTATGTTGTTCGTTCACCTACAGCAGTACTTAGTTTGAAGCATTAAGAAAGATGGTAGATAATGAAACTCAGTTGTCATTATTTCTGTACTAAACTTTGCCTTACTGATTCAGTTTAAACTTAACTTTCGTTTTATAGAGGTTAACAGAAAATTGTATGGTTTTGTTGTTAACAGCTTCTAAATGCAATCAATAAGACAGCTTTGAAATGTTTTTACATCAATATTCAAAACTAAGTTGAACATGATTGAGTTTATGGTGTGTCAGTACACTTGTAACGAATAAGACTGAAGACATAAACAAACAGTGTAATCAATGATGAGCCCCTGAGATTTTAACTGTCTTAACTTGAGGATCCTTCGTTTAAGGCAGTAAAAAGACTTGCCCCTAAGTTAACACTTTCCTGTCGAAATCACATAGTCCTTATATATTCCATTGTATTACCTTATTTTGACAAGACACTGGAATAAAAAAATACTGAATGAACTACGTCCACTGTAACATTGTCAGTAAAATATGCTGTTTTTCTTTGTTTTTTGCAAAATTGACAAGTTTCAAGTGAAATGATGTATATTACAGTGTCTTAAAATACTAGTTTTTTTTTTTCTCAAAGTGGAATAACAAATAGATGGCTTGCCAATTGCAAGTCTTGTCATTGGCCTGGGCCCATATTCATGAACCGTTCTCATGCTCAAGCATGGACTCTGTGCTCAAACCAACTTTCTTGTCACTCACTTAACTTGTGTTACATGTCAAAAAGTCAAGTGGTAATGATGAAAATGGTATTTGGCTTGAAGTCTCTCCGAAATTCTTCAAAATCATGAAAAAAATATGATTATTTATTATTTTATTACTCAAACAAGAAATTGGGTTTGAGCTTGATAGTTTCATTAATATGACCCCAAGTATTATCATTGCTGTATTGCAGAGACATACTTGACAGTGTTGAACATGGAGTATTTGACCTTGGGGAGTTTATTCCTAGCTCCAATCCTTCATCACAAGAGGACTTTCAAGAAGCATTGCAACTTGATGTAATTGATTCACTCAAGACAAAAGAAATATTTTTGAAAGAGGATATTCAGCATTGGCTATCTGCCAGCCCTAGTAAGTGTCCACTGTTACATATAGCTATCTTATAAATAAATAAGCAGCACATGGGGTCTTTAGTATTTATGTTTTCCTATTTGTTATCTGGATTGTACATTTTAACAAAATCTTTTAAACTTTGATTAATTTTTACAGGCCTTATGGGCCACTTGCAAAATCAGATTGTTTTGCAGGAAGTCACAGTGACACTATGGTACAAAATATTTTCAGGTGATTCATTCAAACTGGAGGAAGTGTTTATGTCAGATTCTCTTCCAGACTTGAGTAGAAATTTACCAAGTCTGAATGCAATGCGTGGCCGTCTGCATCCTAATCAAGCCTCAGATCCACTGAATAGCAAAGGCTCGGGATTGCTGGCACTAAAGGACAGGATTGCACAGTAAGAATTTATTGCTTAATTCCTGCAGGCCTCATGTGGTATTAAACACTATAGTATTACGGAACTATTTTTTTTAACTTCTTGTTGGGTAATTTCAGTTGTCATTTCAAAATGCTGATACAAAATTGCATGAATAACATTCAAAAGAACAATTTACACCGCGTAGAATTATGTAGAGCTATGTAGGAACATTCATCAAATTTTGCCAAGAGAAAATTTCACAGAAGACACTACTACACCCCAGTTATCAATTCTAGCATATTAGACATAAAATCGATATGAAACTGTTTAAAATTGTTTGCATGTTCTTCCAAAATGTGATGATTTTTAGAAGGTGCCCATTAGCTGCAGTAATTGAGTTCTGGTATGAAGCAAGCTGTTTTAATTGATTGAATTCTGCAGTGAAATCTTGGGCTTCAATCTTTTAGAGGTTTTTTATAAGATCAACAATTCAATTTTTCTGTGCTAAAGGTCTGAAATTTTGTTAAAATGCAGTCTGCTTTCTGAAGAGATTTGCATTTTTTAATACTATGAACACGAAGAAATACAGAAGTAGGTTTGGTTATTCAATTTAATCTGCAACTTGATAACATTTGTCAGACTTGAGTCTGTACATGGTGCATTTTCTGTGATTCTAGGAAGTTAAAACAAAATTCATGTAAATTAAAATCCCGTATAATGCTGCAAACATGGGAAAGTAAATTCAATTTAAGTGTCTTTCTTTGAAATGAAATTTGAAATATTGTGTACATTTTCTATAAGATGATGATAAAACGAGACCCAAGTATGTTTGTTCAACCTTCAGGCCTCATGCAATTCGTGAATTAGACAGGGTTGATCATATTAGTGTCGAGGAAGGAATGTAGATTTTGTTGATCACAATGGGTTAATCTTGTTAATGTTGATAAGGTCACTGTTTACAAGTCTAACCTTGAATTGGAATGAAATGAAATGTTAAAGTTCTATCAGATGTATTTTTTGAACCAACACAATGCTTGATCAATAGAGATTCTTGTTTCGTCGCTATTAATGAGTATGCACTAGTGTTCACAGTGAAGTGTCGGGAAATTCAATTGTGCTATTTCTGGTGTTTTAATTTGATGTCGGCTTTTTTGCCCTTTCCATATTAATGACAATCCATCAATGTGACATTTATGAGTTAAATATTGATTCAAGTTTTTCGACGTTTACAAGAAAAAGGACATTTCTATAACTTTCTATGGTGCATTTCGTTCTGTAATTAGGAACCTCTGTCAGAATATACATTTATTTAATGATGTTTAATTAAATAATTTAAACATTTAAGACAATTTTAAGTATATACTATTGAACTAGATGCTATTGAGTCTGATATTGAATGGAGTACTCAGATTTATGTGGAAAATATAAAATTGATAACAGTAGTGAACAATATATTCTAGAGTTGTAACAATATCCGCTCCAGACTGTTGCTTTATCAGGGTTAAAATTGCTACGAGAATGTGTGTTTTTTTGTTCGAAGTGAAGAAGTCTTGAGTCAAGAAGATCATTGTGACATAGCAAGATGTGAAGCTTCCTCACTGGACTTTGATTGGCAGAAATTTGAATTGACTGAAGCAGATGTATGTACTAAAATTGAACTTAGTGTTGTTCTTCAGTGACAGAACTTATAATTGTTCCCCAGTGTCTGTGGTATAAATAATCAAATATTGCTGGTTTTATTTGGTATTTCATTCTAAAAGCAGTTTATTCAGAATGTAATTGATCATTAAAAAGTTTAAAAATACATTTTATCATATTTCAATGAAAATATATAAACACCCATGCATATCATTAAATGAAGGGAGACAGATTGTGCTAGTACTGGTTCTTTTTCCATTACTGGAAGTTCTTCTTCTGTTCTTCTAATAAAAAGACAATGTGCACTGATCTGCAATATATAGACTAATGTGATCTTGACCTCAGGATCAAAGGTCACATAAGAGCATACTTTTCAGTAACATTTAAAAAATCTTAATGAAACTTGCTGTATCTGTGCATCACCCACGGACAACTTATGTACATATGCAGTGCATTATCTATTGGTCAATCTGAACTTGATCTCAAAGTCAAAGGTCAAATAGTGGCAAATTTTATTTTTAGGAACATCTATGCAGGTTGTAACTTTTAAATCTTAAAGGATAATATGAAGAAACTTGCAGTACATGCCTGTGTCATCAACAGACGGTGTGCATGAAGTGCACTGTCAATAAGTCACTGTGACCTTGACATCATGGTCAAATGTCAAGTAAGAGTAAACTATTCAGATGTAGCTTTTAAACTGTTACAATGTTAAGGTACTGTAATTACCTTCCATGTCAAATATAGGTATTGCCTATTAGAGACATAATTAGGTTTTTGTTCACAAAACAATTAAATGTCCAGTTACCTGGTATTTATATCTTAATACTGTGAAAATAAATGTATGTGATAAGAAAAGTGGATTGTAAACTGCTTCATTATTGGCACTTTATTGTTCATAACTATTTTGAAAAACTCATTTAATTAGGGGGGGGGGGGGGGGGGGGGGCTTACGTGTCTTAATTGACAAATGGGATTTGAATATTTGGTAAGAAAACTAAGTAAACTGAATTATTTTACTATGATTTGAACATGTGGCATCATTATCAATTTTCTCTATCAATCACTTTTTGGCTTCTTATACATGTACTTCAAACTATATAGTTAAATTTGCTCTTGGACAACAATGTGCAAATTTTATTACAATAAAAAAAAGTAATTTTAAAATTCTGTGTACTCCGGGTAAGTCAAGGTTAAATAAAATGTGAAATGATCTATAAATTTAAACTGGACATTAATTGCAAAAGAAGTGAATACAAAACATTTGAAAGGAATTTTGAATTTTAACCCTTTCACCCATATGTATCTTTAGTAGACGCTACCATGCATTGATCTGGATGAGTTCATTATGATCTACAGTGGTGAAAGGATTAAGAATACATGTATGATAATTAAAAATGATGTTGGAATTGAGAACATTAGTATACATGGACCTGATACCTAATACAGCGTATATTTTCACTGACACACAGACTTGTATTTCAGGTTTTCCATTTCTATAAAGATCTTTAAAGTCCTGGTGTGCTGTCGATTTTAATAGCAATAAAATGTTTCAGAATATCTTTTACAAATGCCCTCAGAGTAATGATATTGATAATTGCAGGGTGAGCTGGAAGAATGCTTGTTTCCTTTTGAAAAAGAAAATGGCAGAAAGGAAGCAATTTACAACAGTACGAAGATTGCCATAGAATTAGGCACCTCGTGCCCATTGGAGGTGAAAAGTCCTGCTTCAGGTTAGATGGTCCCTCCCCTCTGTGATCAATTACTTGCACATGATTGCATAGTAGTTCTCTCAAAAATAGTTAATTGATTTTATGATGTTTGTTTTTCCATGGACAGCATTTATTTGGGGTTCATGCAATTTGGAAAGTTGAATCGAAAATCAGCCAATCTCATGTAATAGCAAAATTTGTATAGATTTAAAAAAAGACAAATTTAACTACACTGTATTAATAATGTGTATAACGTTCAAATGCAGATACGCTTCCATAAACAATAGTCTTTTAAACATGGAATTTGGGAAGAAAAAAGAATATTTTGATACCAAATAAAGGTTTCAATTTGGATACATATGATGCCTTTGCCAGTTTTAAAGCCATGCACTGGCTCCATTTTCCAGAACTATTAAAAGACACTATTGGAAATTTGTGAAATTCTACTAGATCTCTCATTGTGTCTCAAAAATAATACTGTACGAAGTCCTGTTTTTCAGATAACCATACATTCCTATTACTAAATATGATTTTAATTAACCTCCACACTAAATGATAGTTCAAAATTTAAAGATTATAGACTGCTATTGTACCTACCCAGTGTATCTGTTTTTATGACACTTTCATATACATGTAGTAACTGCATAGAAGTAGATATTCTTTTGATTTTGTTTTTATCAGATACATTTGACAGATTGGTGAAGAGAGATATTGATAAGAAGTACAAAACCGAAGTGGAAAAAGTAGACACCACACCACCAGTGAAATTTACACAATCATTCTTAGAAATTAATGAAATTGGTAAGTTAAATGAAAAATTGATGTGTATTATAGGCATGACAATTTCCATTTTACAACTGTGATTTGCCCCTTTCCTGATAGCATCATCCCTGCTTCCACAACTTACTGTTGCAGTTGATTCAATATTCACTGGCTTGCTCCAAATTTTCATGATTATGTGATGAATGTTAAATACTATTTGACAAACTTATAACACAGATTTACGAAAGATGCATGTTGATAAAAACTATCAACAAGTTTGATTTGTGCCATCATGATCTCATTGAAACAAATGATATTTTCTTAAGTTATGTGGATATATTGACCTTTTTGATAATGCTCATTAGTGGTCCTTGTGGTTTTCTTGTCACTACCCTGGATTTCTCTTTGAGAATGTGGCATTACTTAAACCTGACCTATATTTACAGGTGCAGCGTACAAAACAAAACATTGGTCAAAGGTCCCAAAATGTATATATATCTGTATCACTGTAACAGTCGTTGGTCCCTGACAGTACAGCTTCATTAATTCATCAGTTGGTGGTTCCTGACTGAGAATTGAAATGCCTTTGGACATGTTTTATCCAGTCTGCAGTCAATGAGGGAAACTTTCTCACATATTAAAGTTTGCCAAGGTTTAATTTGTAAAGTCAGTTTAAAATGTAAAAATAGTGAAAACATTGTGTGTATTTCTGATCAAGACTTTACAATATTACCATTGGCATTCAGTTGTGTTCTTAACATTTTCTTTCTTGAATGCATCCCTGAACTACATGTAAACTATATGTCTGAGGTTTCATCCATAAATCTGTCAGTAACTCCTTTCTCTGGAATATGTATGGAAATTAATTAAAGGGGAGATTGAAGAAGATAGGAATGTTTCATGCCGGGAACTATCCTTACTCTGGGACGATATAAGGATATTAATTAATAGAAAGACCGAGGTTAACAGGAATCCATCAGGGAAGACGGGGGTTGGGCGGGAGCTGTAGATCTCTCCTGTAGAATATGTATCAATTAAAAGAGAGACCAGAAAAACAAGAATCCTCTATATTAGGGTAAATATAAATTACAGCTTGAGGTTATTTTAGCTAACAGAAATTCATAAGTAAAGTAATGTGCATATTATCAAATAGTATTGATTGAAAAATATTTATTTGAAAAATTATGATCCATCCATATGTTTATCTAGCTGCATGGCATTCAGATTGATCAAAATTATCATGCCAGTTGTAATGCTTGATTCAGCTTTTCTCAGAATCTGCCATATATATATTCCATCTTTGCGTATTGCAGAGTTATCTTCTCTTGGGAGCAGGTATTGATTGTTACGTCATGGGTTTGTGTGAGAAAATTACGTCGTTTTCTCAAAAATTGATGACGTTACTCTCACAAACAAGTGACGTAACAATCAATACCTGCTCCCAAGAGAAAATAACTCTGCAATATGCAAAGACGGAATTGTCATATTTTCACATCATACATAGATGCATATTAATTTCTAAAGATTCAATGTCAGCTGGTGTACAACACTTAATCTCCTACAACTGCAGTTTACACTTTTAGTCCTATAGTGACTCATTGACCCCCTACAGAAATTAAGTGATCTGTATAGGGCTATCAATGCCATTCTATTAATGGTGTAATTGAATTACTATGTCATAATAATAAAATGACCAATTAAATCTACCGACCATCATGTTATTGTGAATGGTCAATCTCAGTCAGTGGCAGTCTGGTGCGAGGTGCAAAAATAGTAAATAATGGGCTGTGATAAGATTTCTAAACTAATGGGGTTTATGTTGTTCTTTTCCCCCCAAGAATTAGGTGATGAAGATATAGACATGAAGAAAGCCCTGCTGGATTCTCCCATGGTTGGCCCACGTGTACAACAACTGCCAAACTGTGATCTGAAAAAGTCTCTAGCCCAGCTGCGTTCACATCCCCTAATAGAGGACGACAATAGGTATACTTGAAATTACGACACGATAACAATGGGAAAAAAAACATCTATACAAATATTCTTTAAGCTTGTTAGCCTCTCATCTGTATTAACAGATAGAATTTTAGACATAGCACTTCATCAGTCAGTGTCTGTGTGTCACATTGTCTGGGACATAATTTGTGTACTTATAGACACATATACAATTGCAAAAAATTTGTATGTAAGTCCCTCATGGAATGGCATAGTGCCCCATGCTAAAATATGGTTTTGTTCCCCCTATACACACAGTTATGTCCTTTTATAAGTTTGTCTTGGACAAATCTCATATATCATGTCAACTAAAATTGCCAACTTTTGTATGCAAGCTTCTCAAATAATGGTTGAATGTCGCTAATTTCTGGTAATGATTTTAATTAAATCTTGTCTCCCACAGTATACAGAGTTATGGCCCATTGTTCATTTCCGAATCTGTCCAGATTTGAAGGACTGTGGATGGTTTGCAATACTTTGCCTTACCTTGTTTTCAATAAAGTTGATATACGCTATAATTTCCAAACTATTAACTGATACTTTAATGGAGCTTGAAGTGTGCCAGCACCATCCATGGAAGGTGTGCAGTACTGTACCACTACAGCTCCATGTACGTAGGTGCATTAGAAAGCAAGACATGGTTCTGTCTAGTTGATTGTGCACATGTATCATTCAGGTTTTGTATTTATAACTAATGAGTGTAGAGCCCAAAGGGTAGGGCCCAAGGAAATTGGGATAATTTTTTAAAAGAGTAACTCCATTTAGAAGGACTTGATGAAAAAGTTTTTTCGCCACTGACATATACCGTAGCTTTGTTGAACTCTGACCTGTGGGCAGGGCTCCTTTTTTCACTAAACACCAATATGGACATTGAAGTCTATAACTAAAAGGGAAAAAAAATAGTCTTCTGTATGGATATACCCCCTAAAAGGATTTCAGGTGTTTGATTCAGGCCCATGTGACTTTTGTTGTTTATTAAACATGTCATCTAGCAGTCTAACCTTTATTTTGTCATAACCATTGATTGATAAATAAAAGTATTTTGATTTTAAAGTTGATAAAAAAAGTCTTTGCAGAATGAAAAGTTTTAGTCAGTGGTCATTGTTTACACCTTACCTTAGATCTAAGAGAACTTTATGGAAATTAATGTCCATATTGGTGTTTAGTGAAAAAAGGAACCCTGTCCACAGGTCAAGAGTTCAACAAAGCTATTTGTCAGTGGCGAAAAGCCTTTTTCATCACAGCTTTGTAAATCAAGGTTCATCTTGTGAAAACAAAAATTGTATTCAAGCAAGCAAAGGAATGTTTCTGATGCCTTCATATTCAACATAGTATGGTTTGTAAAAAGAATATTTTATTGTTCGCATCTGAAGCCTTTACTTTCACTTTCAGTAACAATACATTAACACACTATTCTATTACTATTCTGCCATTTCAGATTACTTACACCAGCACAAAAAGAAAATATTGTTTGGAAAATTTGGCAGCATGAAAGATATTTGGATGATGTTTTATCACTGAGACTGCCAGGTACCCTCATGAAATAATCTTTGTATTAGGGATGCAGGCATAACGAAAATTAAATACAAAATGTAGATAAGTTGCATGATACTTCATAAAATAAAAGCTTTTTATTATGAAATTGATTTCAGCATCAGAGTACTAGTCCGATAATAAATTTGCTAAGCTTATAATTTTAATGATTAATGCACTATTTCTGCAAAGTCCAGGGTGACACACTAATATGATAATACAATATTTATAAAAAAAAACAAAAAAAACAACCTATTTAAGAGAAAAAAATTGTTTTATAGAATTTGAGGGTAAGCCGACATTTGACATTGACATTGGTCCAAATAAAGCAAAGGAAATGCTGAAATTGAAAGCTGATGAGGACCTTGGCAAGATTGAGCTATGTTTGTGTTGGGATGCAATATCTGTGGCTGCAGCGAAGATGAAGGGGTGTCAAGTGGAAAGACTGAAAGAGGCAGACTGTCACAACAAGTGCCCCACAACAGCAGACTCTCCAGTTGAACAGTTCAAAAAATACACTTCTACAGCTTTATTTGGCAAGTAAAACTAGCGAGTATGTGTAGCATTGGCTGCATGTGAAGGTTGTATTTATACAAAAGTGTATATTTACAATTTTTAGACAAGGACATGCTGCAGTGATTTTCTTAACCCCCATCCCCCAGGGGACCCATCCTTTTGTGTGTGTGTGTGTGGGGGGGGGGGGGGGGATTGGATATTCCATCACATTCAAAAATGGAATTATGTCAATTATTACCACAGGTTTTGGTTTTAAAATATTTGACAGAATTGTTTTTTAAACTTTATACACAATTTGTACAAAGATGCATTGAAACAATTTTATAATTAGAACAGAGATGAGTCCTATGATTAAATCATTATGGTAAAACTTCCTGGTGCAAGTGAGGTGAAAATTCCTAAATATACAGGAAAAACATTTGACTAATAAACTATTAGGCTTATCTATTAATGAGCTGGAGTTGCTGAAGGTCAAAGCAGTCAGGTTTTTATTGCTTTTGAAGAAAATCAATCAATTAACTTCAGGTTACCTGGTATTGATACATTTAGAAATTCCAGGGCCGATTGAAAAAAGGTTAGATCACTTTAGGAAAGAATCATGTTTTATGCATGTGCTTCATTCTTTCAATTTAAAGTCAGGCAATCAATAACACTAAGCTACATTATTCTTTATATAGATTAACACATGTAAGGGTGTTTAAATCTTGCATGAATTTTCACATCCAACCAATGCCAAAATCCAGCTTGGTAATAATCGTACAAGGGAACAAAGTCTGTGCTATATGCTCACACTTCTATCCCTCAAGATGTTTTCTATGAATACATTGGGCAATAGGCTTAAATTGTGTAACACTTACTGTTTAAAGAAATGTTTGGTCAGAATTCAAGATCATGATTTCTGTATTTAAAGGAAATGATATCCATATATAATGCTACCCAAAAACAGTTTTGGTCCTTTTTTTAGCTCATACCGTGGCGTCCGTCATCCGTTCATCAACAATTTCTTTAAACGACTTCTTCTTAACCACCGATTGAAATTTGACTAAATTTGACTGGAAGCATCCCTAGGTAGTGGGAATTCAAAATTGTACAAATGGTGGGGCTGACCCCCCAGGGGGCTGAGGGGCTGGGCAAAAAGGGGGCAATTTGGCTATATTGATGTAAACGACTTCTTCTGTAGAACTATGGGATAGATATTTATCATATTTGATTGGAAGCATCAATAGGTAGTGGGGATTCAAAATTGTACAAATGGTGGAGCTGACCCCCCAGGGGGCTGAGGGGCTGGGCAAAAAGGGGGCAATTTGGCTATATTGATGTAAACGACTTCTTCTGTAGAACTATGGGATAGATATTTATCATATTTGATTGGAAGCATCAATAGGTAGTGGGGATTCAAAATTGTACAAATGGTGGGGATGACCCCCAGGGGGCTGACGGGCGGGGCCAAAAGGGGCTATTTTGCTACATTGCTTTAAGCGACTTCTTCTCTGGATCTGGAACCAAAAGATGAATATCAACCATATTTGACTGGGAGCTTCCCTAGGTAGTGGGGATTCAAAATTATACAAATGGTGGGGCCACCCCTCAGGGGGTTGAGGGGCTGGGCAAAAAGGTGGCAATTTGTCTTCATTGCTATAAACGACTTCTTCTGTAGAACTTTGCTCTGGATATAAATCATATTTGGTCGGAAGCATTCATGGGAGGTGGGGATTCAAAATTCATGGGAGGTGGGGATTTAAAATTGTACAAGTAGTGGGGCTGACCCACCGGCTAAGGGGTGGGGCCAAAAATAGTTTATAACTTGGAAATGGTTGAGATCCCCACCCTATAACCATATATACAACTAATGAGTATAAAGAGAAGAATGCACATATGCTTCCAGGATAGCTCCTGGGTCTGGCTCCACCCTTGGGACTTAATCCCTGGGTCATAACTTTGAAACAGTTGAGATCCCCACCCCAAAACTATATATACAATTGTTGGGCATAAAGAGACAAATGCTGTCATGATATTAGAATTGACCCCGGGATCTGCCTCACCCTTGCAAACTTAACCCCTAGGTCGTAACTTTGAAACAGTTGAGATCCTCACCCCAAAACTATATATACAATTGTTGGGCATAAAGAGACAAATGCTGTCATGATATTAGAATTGACCACGGGATCTGCCCCACCCTTTCAAATTTAACTCCTGGGTCATAACTTTGAAACGGTTGAGATCCCCACCCCAAAATTATATAAACAAATGCTTGGCATAAAGAGATAAATGCTGTTATGATATTAGAATTGACCCTGGGGTCTGGCCACAACCCTAGGGACATAGTTTCTTAGTCACAGCTTGGAAACAATTGAGATCCCCACCCCATAACCATAGATGAACTTGCTTGGCATGAACAATCTCATACAGATATGCTACATTCACAAGGTTTGGCCTTGGGGTCTGGCCCATTCCAATGGATCTTATAAGGAGAATATTTTGCTATTATTGCTTAGATATCCAGGTGAGCGTTACAGGCCCTCTGGGCCTCTTGTTTAAAGTCCTATTAAAACAATGTTTATGTCAATAGTTTCTACAATTTTTCTGCCTGTAATGAAATACAATTTTTTTTTATTAAACCGTACGTAACGTTTATTAAAGTGATTCTTTTATTAGAGGACAAAGATGCAGTTTTGGAAGAAGTTTCTTCACTTGTGTTGAATGGAGATATTATTGAAAACAAACAGAAAGAAGAAAAAGGTATTTAGTCAATATGCACTGCATGTTTCGGTCTTGAAACTGCAAATTCAATACTGCACAGATGTTAAATTTTTCCTTTAATTGTGTTGTGACATATCAAAGCTCAAGTTGATTTTGAAAATGAAATATTAAATTTATAGTACACTGTAGATATTAATTTATGTTGGTAAACAATTGCGGTGAATTAAGGAAAATAATTGTATATTAACATAAAGCAATATGTTGATAAAATCAGTATTGAGAAGATAGATGGGGAGGGGGGAGTACAAAAGTTGCCATGGGTAGGAGTGAGTTGGGGAGTCACAAAAAAACACCCAAAAAACTCCCTTTTCCCATTAGTATTTCAAACAAGTTTTCTCAAAGCTAAGGCATGGAAACCACGTCCACTATTGAGGCCTAAAGAACTGAGCAAGGCTGGAGTGGATCCTCTGAGTGATTTTCTACTACTGCGTAGCTACGTCCAGTGTGGTTCCATGGAGAGGCAGGATTCCAGTAAATCTTTTGACAAGACCAATACTAAGACGCAGAAACCCAGAAGTAAGCTGATTATACTGTCACATTTTGTTTATGCAGGGTTTTTAATGCTATCATGATCAAGGTCTCCATTTGACAAATGAATCCTTGCAAATCATTAATGCGCCCCCACCCACACGTTAATCAGGAATCATTGTGTTTTTTTAAGATATCAGTATAACTCCAGTTGTACATATATATTGGGTCATACGACCTGAAAATATTTCAAAACATTAATGCATTGTGATATTACACCAATATAAAATATGAAGCGATTGCCTATAACATATAAATCATTTCCAACAGGTCAAAATGTTCCTGTTACAGCAAAGACGATGAGAACAGACAGTCCCTGTATGTCACCTTCAGATCTTGACATTCAGAATATCGGTGCAGTTATGCCCAAGAAGAAACAGAAAACTTGGGATCACAGAACTGTCCCTGTGACTATACAAGGTATCAGTATTTTTTTGTGTTGTTTGTATGGGTATAGCTGTGCTGTGTGATGTAAGGAGATATAAAGGATATTTAATGGTGTTTTCAGTAATAATAAATATATTTCACCAGTGTGGCTTATATTTTGATATTTTTCACGAGTACATGAGTTTGATTTGAAGGTGATTTTGCCTCTGTTTGTATTTGATGGTGATTTTGCCTCTGTCTGTATTTGATGGTTATTTTGCCTCTGTCTGTATTTCCATAAAGCAGATATTATCTCTGTATTTGAAGGTGATTTTGCCTCTGTCTGTATTTGCATGAAGCAGATATTATCTCTGTATTTGATGGCGATTTTGCCTCTGTCTGTATTTGATGGTGATTTTGCCTCAGTCTGTATTTGATGGTGATTTTGCCTCTGTCTGTATTTGCATGAAGCAGATATTATCTCTGTATTTGATGGTGATTTTGCCTCTGTCTGTATTTGATGGTGATTTTGCCTCAGTCTGTATTTGATGGTGAGGTGATTTTGCCTCTGTCTGTTTTTGCATGAAGCAGATATTATCTCTGTATTTGATGGTGATTTTGCCTCAGTCTGTATTTGCATGAAGAAGATATCATCTCTGTATTTGAAGTAATTTTACCTCTGTTTGTATTTGATGGTGATTTTGCCTCTGTCTGTATTTGCATGAAGCAGATATTCTCTCTGTATTTGATGGTGATTTTGCCTCAGTCTGTATTTGATGGTGATTTTGCCTCAGTCTGTATTTGCATGAAGCAGATATTATCTCTGTATTTGAAGTGATTTTGCCTCTGTCTGTATTTGATGGTGATTTTGCCTCAGTCTGTATTTGCATGAAGAAGATATTATCTCTGTATTTGAAGTGATTTTGCCTCTGTTTGTATTTGATGGTGATTTTGCCTCTGTCTGTATTTGCATGAAGAAGATATCATCTCTGTATTTGAAGGTGATTTTGCCTCTGTTTGTATTTGATGGTGATTTTGCCTCAGTCTGTATTTGCATGAAGCAGATATTATCTCTGTATTTGAAGGTGATTTTGCCTCTGTTTATATTTGAAGGTGATTTTGCCTCTGTCTGTATTTGAAGGTGATTTTGCCTCTGTCTGTATTTGAAGGTGATTTTGCCTCTGTCTGTATTTGAAGGTGATTTTGCCTCTGTCTTGGAGATCATTGAGGACCAGGCATCCTATTTCATGGCTGCCCTAAGAGGAAGTAAGGGCATGTACCTCCCTAACAACTTCTCAGATCTCACACCGGACAATGCAAGGTTTCTTGTAAAACAGAACGAAAAATGTCTTGAAGATAACAAAGAAGATGGTAAATATTCTGTAGATGTGAATTTTATTTTATGCACTTGTAATTAAATCTTAGTATACGTATTTCATTTTTGCAGAAAAAAATCACCAAATATAACATTAAAATCTCATATTGTTACACCCCTGATTATTTCATTTGCCACTTTGCTGATGTTTTTGATGTCTTCATAAGTCATTGCTTGAAGATGGTTTTTTATTTATTATTTGCTTATTCCCCCCTTTCTCATTGATTTAAAACTCTTTACAGCACAAACATTGTGCCGGGAAAATGCTGGCAGTGTAACACGGCTTTGATGTGTGATATATTTAGGGGGGTATATGATGTGTTATTCCATGATTTGTAAATTGTATGCTCCCATTCCAATAAGTGATTCCAAGTTAATCGATGACATTTCCATTTATTTATATTATAGGTACTAAGTGTGATACATACAAGGCCACTGTTGCTTTACACATTCTGTGTGGGGCGAGAGATATCCTCATCCACTGCTGTTTTGAATCTGCCCTGTCTCACATCAAGTCCATGCAGGAGAAATACCAATCAGTCTTAAAAAGTAAGTCATAATAAAAAATACTATTTCAGATGCTGAATTAGTGCCTGTTAGATGGCTTTAAGGTATATTTAAATAAATTTGACTGATTTGAACTTCAAGGTCAAAAGAGTCAATTTTATTAAAACAAATATAGGAAACAGGAGAGTGAGCATTGCCATTACAATAAAAAGTAATTTTCTACTGAAGTATTCCCTATAAATCTAAACCTCGATCATGCTGCAATGCATTTAACAGAAGTAAAGTTGTTTTTAATTTTGAGTATTTGAAAGAAAAGGTTGAGAAAAAATACCCCAAAAACTAAGGTTGAAGTTGAGATCCATCTTTTGCAAAACCCTACAGTATACTGGTGTTGCTCTTTAGGAATTAAATTGCACAGCATTAAATGAGAAATAAATACCTGGGCAAGAGCTAACTCCAAGCCAGACAATTCTGTACAGAAGGGAGAGTTCTCCATTGAATCTTGACGGTTTTAACAGGTAGTACTGTACCCTTTGCCTTGAGGTCTTAATGAATGGCTCTCTTTGTTGAAAAATGTTGAGGTTTACAGGAATAAATGTACATATAACTAAATGATCCGGGTATTCAAGACGTTCAAGTTTGTAATACAAAAGTTTTCAGAATATATGATATAATAATGATCGCGCTGTCAGTCTGGTTTTTTTTTAAATTCTTTGTACAAATATATTTGACAAAGGTCTGTATTAATATTTACCTCTGTTTCAAGGTTACAGTCATTTCAGTGCCATGGGAAAACCTAATGTATTATTCATGTTACAGATTGCTTGGATGATATGAGGAAAAAGCTTTTTCAACTTAAATGCAATTTCAACCAGAGAAGAATTTTCCATCCAAAATTAGTCTCATTGTATTGTCATATCAATGAAAGGCTGCAGAAATCAACCAAAGACCAAGATGGAACAAAAGAAAAGGTTAACTAACTCCAAAAATACTATATTTAATAAAGAACCACACGACTCTAATTGTTTTCCTTGTCATAATCTTATTTAAGATTGAAGCTTTGGTGAACAAATAATATGAGTATTACAATTAAATTTGATTACACTTAGATAATGTTGGTCTGATTGTAATTTTATATAGTATATGATTATTTCTGCATATTCGCGCGTAATCAGCTTTCCAATCTGACTGTAGTAAAGGTCATTATGCAAAGTGTATAGACTATTCAAAGGTCAAACATTAAGACTTGATTAGAAAATAATTATATTTGATACAAAGCCACACCATACATGGCTTTTTATGCCCCCGCCACAAAATGNGACATTTTCTAGTGATTGATCATTCTTGCTAGCTAGGCCAGGGTGAATTCTGCAAACCAATTGTTTTAGTATTCATGATTGTTTGATGACATTGCAGTGCCTGAATGGTGAATTCATTTGTACAGCTGTGTTCATAAATATTTTGTACCACTCCTTGAAAACTACAATAAGGTTTTCTACAGAATCAGCTTAAAAGATCCAAACATTTATTATTATATTCTTTTATACTCGAGCCATACAAAAGCGTTGTTTATTACATTATTTGTTATTTTTCCATACTAAACAAAAGCTAACATTGTGTATGGGTCATTTAAAGTGTTTGTCTAAATTGTTCATCTGTCTGTGCGTCAATCCTACCAACATGTATTGGTTTATTAGACTTTGTGTTTAGCTCCTAACTCTTTATATTAAAAGTCATCAAAATTCACTTTGAGGAGAACTACACAAATATATGTCAAATAAAGTAGGCAGTGTATGTCGCTGTGATCGGTATTTTCGATTTCATTGACTTATAAAGGTAGACTTTTTATTTAGCTTTGTTTCCATCACAGCAGGAGCAAGGTATATACCTTGTATGTTAACAAGCATTTTCTAGTTATTGGTGGGGTTTTGTTTCCTCTCTAAAAGGACCCAATGTTAAAATACAGAAAGTGTGTGTGTTTCTCACCCATGCAAATATTTTAATTAATGTGGCACAGTAGGTATAGATTGCTATGCTATAAATGAGTTTTTATTATTTCGGTACAGTAAATCTTAAAATACAAGATGCAAGATGTACTTTAAATATTCCCTTTGGATTTGGTTTTGCTAGATCTTGATTGTAACTGGCCAGGAGCGTATGAGTCTGAAGTGTTGCCTGAGAGACTTTGTGCGTGGTGGATCAGGTGTGAAGGCTGATCTTCTCACAGACTTGTCGGGAGAATTGTCGAAAAGGTAAAGATCATCATTAACTGAACATGAAAAGCAAAAATACATGTACAGGTGACATAAATACACAGTTTATTTTAACATTTCTTTTTAATTATCAAGGTTTATAGCTGCTAGAGGAGTCCTTTTCTTTTTCGTTTGGAAAAGTTTTGTCTGAAAAATATCTGACATGTGATAAAAAAATTTTTTTTTTTTTTTATCTTAGACTGGTATTGGTGTGCAATAATTTATAATGCTTACTTTTACAAGAGTAGATTGAAGTTTATTAAAGATACTGTACCAGTGGAAATCTTTAATTACTCAAAATATACCAAGAGTAAATTTAACAAACTTTATTTACGGTAAAGTAGATTTATACCTACATTTAACACCTAAGGACTTAGAAAATTACTTTTGCTATTTTCAGATTTGATACAGATTTTTTTTAATATAAAAATCAATTGTAACTAATTGAATCATTATACAATTTTGTGCCATTATTATGATTTCTCTGTCCAAAGGCTTGAGTCAGTGACCTGTTTGATATCACACAGAAGTGAGCTTTTCACCGAGTTTCCCTGGTGCTTGTTTACGGTTGTGATGGATTATGACGATTCTGGCGATGACACTGTACTACAGGACTTGTGTAAAGCACACAGTCTACCTCTCATTTCCTTTAGTGTTAAAAACAAAGATGTCCCTGCAGGTAAGACTGGTATCAGTACAGTAAAACCTTCTGTCTTCTTTGATTTCGGCGGTATAATGAGTTTGGCGGTATATCAGGTTTACTGTTTTGAACCCAAGTGTTCACACACCAACTGAACTTATACTTTAAAAAAATGATAATAAACTTCAAAATCCTTTTTTTTTTTTAAATTGTTTAATATTTAAATTTATCAAAAATGTGAACATGGAAAACAAAATCACAATATGTATACACGAAGTGTCACACACAAATAATGTTTAATTAAAGCTGTGATATCCCGACAATTTCGATGCAGAATTTAGTAAGAGGCGAAGCTATGTTCACTTCCGTGTTATCGTCGTCTTCATAGTCTTAAGTTTGTGTGTGGTGACAGTTTTGATAATGTCATTGTCCACAACAACTTAACTGGGTTGAAAAACAACAAATAGTAAGTAAATTGCAGAAGTGAGATTTATTCATCATAATTTCTGCAGTAAAACTTACCTGTAGAAACAACAAAGGTCTAGCTATGGTTCAACAATTTCATGTGTGTACAACCATACAGCTGATATACCTGGTCAGTCGGCAGTTACATGTAACAATACAATGCATGTGCACACGTACGTAATATTCCTGTCATCGTGATATACCTGTACTTGACTCAAATTGGCGGTATTTAAAGAGGTCAAAATATTGTGATTTTAACCATTTGTTTTAGAAATATGATGGTGGATGGCGGTATGCGTGTTTGGCGTTACAACGGGTGCATAAGTGTCGGGGGGGAATCCGTTCTGAGTAAATTAATGGCGATATGCAAGTTTGGCGGTTTAACGGGTGGCATAACAACAGTGTTTTACTGTACATCACTAAACCTCGTTATATTGCCATCAGTCAATCCTGACGTTTGGCATTAAGAGGGGGTTGGAATTTATTACTGAAGGAAACCTATCTATAAAGAAATTGTTGAAAATAAAAAATGAGCAAAAGGTAACCTTGAAAACGGTGGCAATAATTGAAATCTAATTACATGTATATAGGGACATCATTTGGAGATTTTACTTTATTTAAGTGTTTTGTTCATGTACTGCTATAATGAACACATAAATGACATTGCCGATGAAGGGGAGTCAACTCCTGCAAATGTTGAAATCTTTACCTTGAGGTACAGTTTGTCTTAGTTTGTGAAATAAAACTACTTGAACAGTTTTATTTGACTCTATTTGAGCATTTCACGGGATCTCATTTCTAAATCTTATACCTTCTGGGCTGATAAAAGCGTTTCCTTCACAACTTAGCATCACAATTGTATAAATGGCTACAATTAAATTGCTGACTAAAATAAATCTTCAGTAATTTCCAAATATTTTGGCACCATTGAAGGCTTTAGCAACACGAAGCTAACATTTGTTTTAGAATGTTGTTTAGGCCATCATCTTTGCGACACCTTTTAAAATAGATAGGATTTCCAAAAACAAATTTTACAAATGCACCAAAATTGTTATATGCATATAAAAAAAGGATTTTTAAGTTTGTGCTAAAAGCAAAGAGAATTTTACATCTGACACCATAAAAAAAATCACTAGTTTATTGCAGTTTGCAGTAATTGAGATAATGGTTCTCTTGGTTGTTGTTTAGATTCCAGCACTGAAAATCATATGGCGCCTCAAAACAAGGATATGTGTGCACCACTCACCATCATTGGGTCACGTTATCTCACCTCCAGACCAGAGTTACTGCAGCTGCTGGAAACAAGGTCGGTTATAACAAGTTAAACTGAAGTGCCTTTCAATTGTTTTTTATGGTGTTTATCTCACATGTCTAAAGTGAAGGGTTCAAATAAAACATGGTCTTGCTTGCCCACTTTCAAGGTCACAGAATACTTAGGATGCATGATAAAATTTAGCTTCTAGATTTGTTAAAATGAAATACCTTGACACCCTTTCAAGGTCACAGAGGTCAGAAGTATTAAAACTTGGCGAGTAATACTATTTTAACTTTTATTTGTCTCTATGGGATAATGGGAATATAAAATGACACGACCTCATTGGCTGGATTGTAGTCATGGTTATGTCAGTGATTTGTGCTATTGACTCTGATCGGTAGGCCTCAGACTGATGAGTATGTTTTCTAATCTGAACATTATTTTCTTTATGAATCCAAATAACAAATTAATAAAATGTTTATCATCAAATTTGTTTTCCTTGTTAAAAAATGGATGCATAATTATTCTTCTGAAAAGTACAGAAAGACTTCATTATATGTTTTTAATTTGAATTGCTATATTACACAGGGGCATGGATCGCTTTACTTGTAATATAAAAAAATAGGGGTTTCCGATACTAATATATATATTAGTAAAGGAGAACCCTATTTTTTTTATATTACAAGAAAAGCGATCCATATTAACATAGGAGACCCCTATTTTTTTAAATTACAAGTAAAGCGATCCATATTAACATAGGAGACCCCTATTTTTTTTATATTACAAGTAAAGCGATCCATGCCCCTGTGGAATTATCCACAAATAAAAGATTTAGACAACTGGATTATGATAAACAGCAGTGACATTATTCTTTGATCATAGTGTGATTACCACAGCAGTTATAGAGCATACAAAGTAGTGTATCTTACTGACAGACTTCAGTTTTGTTTCAATTGCAGACATAATTTGTTGATTCTGGAGCGTGACTATGACCAGATCAAGAGTATTGATGAGATGTACTTTGCAGACTTGGTGATAGATGAAAAAACCTGTGTGGTTGTCCAACCATTACAAGACATGGCAGAAGTGTGGCAATCTGAGCTCTTCCACTCGAAGATAATCACACTCAGTCTCAAATTCACAACCTGCTATATAGTGTTCTACAGTAACCAAAAAAGGTAAAAATTATTCTAATGTAATTTTTTGTAATTTTTTGTAAATCATATACATGTATCTAACTTGTTATAGTTTTTGTCTCTGCCATTCATACAAATATGCTGCATATAGGAATGAAGTAAACAGAACCAGTACTAATTGCTGATTAGTACTTTGTAATTGCATTAACACTCATGTTTTGATCATGTGTGAAATCAACTACATACCATATCTCAATTATCTATGAGCTTTTATAATTCCTGTCAATGCTGTCATAATGCTTGTCAACAATGATCAAAGTTTTGAAAATGATAAATTTAAAGTACATACATGCACATAATATGGTACATGCTTTATTATTTTTTCAGCAAAAAGCACAGTTCCTGTTTGGAGAACATCAATCGGTTTCAAGCTGCAGTTGGAAATCCTGCTAGAAAACAAGAATTTCTTGTCCAAGTAATTTTTTTTCCCATTCTTAAAATGAGCACTGATGACAATTTTCTGACTAAGATTCACCTTTAATACCAGCTAATTCAATTTCAAATCTTTGTCCTTCACTAAGGGTTATGTAAAAAATGTGCATGCTCACACAAAATATCGTACCCTTTTAATACAAAAAATTGCACTCTTAACAATGGAAAAAATCAATGATTATTTATCTTTGTACATTAAGAAAAGAATTAAGGCGTGAGATAAAGAACAGAAATATATTAACTGTTTAATACAAGTCTTTTACTGTGTCTTTTCTTTCACAGCAACAAATTAAAACCACAAATAACAACTAAGTTTACACATATCAGCCATCGATTTAAGTTTGTATGCCCCGCCATAAAATGGAGGGGCGTATAGTGTTGCCCATGTCCATCCCGTCCCGTCCCGTCCATGAGCGTGGGCATTTATGTCTTACAGACATTATTTAGTTTATGAAAGTTCCTCAGGGTATGGTTATAATCTTTAAGAAATGCTAAATATCTCTACTTTGTTTTCAATGCAAAGTTAAAGTTTTTGGCAGTGGTACATTGCGTATTGAGGATCCTTAATTAAAATAATTTGTTTTTGTAACTGCTAAAGAAAGTACAGTCACCAGCACACATACACACATACACACATATACAACACACATGGAGGCACGTCCTTAAATGACCTTAACTGTTGATAGGACATTAAACTTGATAAAACCAAAAGCCAAAAGCAAAACAAAATAAAGTACACACAAATGTTTCATGTTTATATATAGTAAAATGTAGGTCTCTAATAATAAGTTTAATTAACATTTTTCTCCAGACATTCATTAGTGACAATGCTGGTGAGGCTGCAAAGTTTGTGAGAAACGTCTGTGATACCAGTGAAGGAATGCCTTCAGTCAGGAAGGATGGGAGTCGGGGAAAGAGAACGTGGTTAACGGAGGAGTGCAGTGAGGTAAATCATATCGATGATAGGTTTATAGATAATTTGATCCACCACAGTAGTTTTATCATTTAAGCTCTAATCCTTAACCTCCCTTTACATAATGTGCATGCTTGAGAGAATTATTTCTTGTACATGTATAGTCAAATCATATCTAATCTGATACCCTTTTCGACACGAGATGTATAGATCATATAAGACGCAGGGTGTCAGAATACACAGGTCTTATTTGATAGTTTTCATAGGAAATTAATGAGATAAAAATATGTTGGATAATGGAGGTTGTTGGAATACTTAGGAGTCGGATCAAACATGTTTCAATGTAACACTTCCGTCATGGTGTAGATTTCACAATACTTTAAGTCACCTGATTTAGGAAATTTTAAATTTGAGAAGGAAAATTGTATTATTTAAGGAGAATAAGTCTACAACACATCATTGATAGTGTATTTACCAGACATTTTGAATGGTTTACCACTGTTTACAGGAGGAAAAAACATTGCTGTCTTTCCCTTGTTTTAACTCATTCAGGTATGACTTTGAGTTTGTTAAGTAATTTGTTTATCATGAAAAGTTACTTTTGATGTATCACCTGGGACAAATTACAAGTGAGCCAAAGCCAAAGCAACTTTGGACACCTGGTCAGATGTTGGACTTGAATCCAGTTTTTCCTTCCAGCAACATCTTCGTTATAACCATGACTAGGCCTAGAGTTTTGAGCTGTAGTTTGTTGTTGTGAAGGACAATTAAAAAGATGCCCTGAACCTACTTTCAAGGTCACTGCATGGTACAAACAAAATGTAAAATAACCTTCATCTATATTCAAGGTCACTGCATGGTACAAACAAAATGTAAAATAACCTTCATCTATATTCAAGGTTACAGGACTGAAAACTTTGGATGACTTCTTCTGAATACCAGAAAGACTAGAGACATGATATTTGACATGTATGATAGTGGAATGGAGGATTATAGTTTGTCTTATAATTTAACTTACTTTCAAGGTCACATATGTGAGAAAATGTTATTCAAATCTTATGTCATGGTATTTGGTCTGTAGTTTGCTTCGTTGATGAGATATCAGTTTTCCTCAAATAAATTACAGGTTCCAATGGTTAGATATGTTAAAAACCTCAAGCAGCCGTTCTTATCTAATGAAGTATAAAGCCTGTACATTGTAGCTATCATATTTGGCCCATAGCTTGCTTTGATGGAGGGCTATCGACTTTGTTCAAATAAATAATAAATAATAATACTAATATACAACATTTGATATAGCGCCTTATCTAGCTAGAATAAGCCACTCTTAAGAGCTTTACAGTACACAGACATACAATTTATACAATCAATACAATTAGCATGTACATTAATCAATACAATTTTGAGGAATTTGTAGGAGCTGCCTTATCAGGCCCTAATATAACTACTAGTCATATGCCATGTACCTGGCTAATATCACCCTATGTGTGTATGCCCGTGTGTGCTGGAGAAGTATTATGTTAAATAACATTAACTAATTTATATTTAGAGTCGCAAGGTTTAGTTATGTAGATTCAAGTTGGTTTGATTTGGTCTGCCAGGTACACAAGTTTGTTTATTTTTTCAATATGAAAATTAAAGTAAATAAGGACTATCACCTAAAGGCACTATAATCAAAGGACAGAAAGCAGGTTATTAATGTTAGATGTCAAATGACCAGGAATATTAGCAATACAAGCCCCTAGGTGCAAGGTGTTTGTTTAACTTAATTTCCTGTTAATTATTATTTTGATGTTGCCTGCGTTGCTTTTGTTATTTATTATGGAATGTGTACAGTAACATTTTTTATTATGAATCGCTTCTTTAGTTTGCTGATATTAAGATTTGATGATCTGTATCTCACTATTAGCTATTTCAATGTTAATTTATCAGGGGATCAGGGGAGCAGTATCTTAAAAATGCCAAAATAAAGTCGAGATTTCCTCAACATCCCAGCAGCATTTTTAACCAAATTGTGACCCATCTCATAAAAGTCATTTTGGATTATCTCCTATAAAAGTGTTCCTCATTTATTTACTTGTAATGTTTCGGTAATATAAGTCCTATAACACCTTTAGGTATCAAAATTTGTCACCTGTAATATAAACCATCAATCCATTCATTTGATTTCATTGCATTTTCTTGCAGTGCTCAACTTGTCCTACAGAAACTGTCTCTGAGTGAACTCTTTGCCAGTTCTTACAGTGAACTAGTCATCTTGTTTTCATGGATTCCACCAAAGTTCCTTAAGGTCTGTCTAAGGAATAAAATGTTTTGATTTGTTAGCCAATTGTCAAATATCAAGTACATCTATTATAGTCAAAGCAGATGAGTAGTACATGCCCTATTATCTCCCTTGTCAGGAAGGAATTGTGTCATGAGCCTTAAACTTAATAATAAATTTTGTCAAGTTATGAAACTACATGTATAAACATGATTAAAGGTTAATACAAAAATGCATAAGTAATTAAATTAAATTAAAATTTAAATAACTTGCACTTCATATTTACTGATAAAATTGAACTTGTATCAGACCTTTTATAGTTGATGTATATTTTCTAGTCATTTCTAGAGATGGTTCATAGTGAGAGAGGTCTCAATTGCTTGGGTAAAGAAACCTCTCATGATTTCACTGGCATGTCAGAGCTGGTTGAAGACTCCATCTCAACATTAGAAGATGAAATAACACATACCATCCGTCGGAACCCACCCTTGCAACGACAGAAGCACTTGAATACTGATAACACTTTACCACCTGAACCAATAGCCATGAACAGACATATCAAACCAAGTATTGATATTGAAAGAGAATATCTAAAGGAGGGTTTAAGAAAATCTTCTTATCAGTACAACCAGTGTATTGATTCTGTGCATCAACAAGTATTGAATTCGACTGAAAGTAACTTAATAGCTCTTCCAAGCAGGAACTTTCCAGGGGAAGTATTAGGTGGACCACAGGAACCACACATAGGAATGGACACCCAGCAAGTCTCCACACAGGACAGCGAAGACATCTTGTCTCTGAATGGATCACAGCCATCTTTGAAATTAAATGAATTCCAAAGGGCTGAAATAGAAGGCAGGAACTTGGTTGCAAACACAAATCCTCAAGAAAATACATGGAGCACTCACAATGAATTCCAACAAGCTGAAATAGGAGGAAAAAACTTGGTTGCTTACGGAAATCCCCAAGGCAACACATGGAACAATCGCAAAGAAATTCATGGGACCACAAGGCGATCTTGTGAAGAATTTCCTAAACATGGAGTTCAGCAATTTGAAAGTGATCAGAATATGACACCAAATGGACATCTCACTGCAGGCTTGGACCCTATATGTGTAGAAGATGCTTTTGAACAAGCAGTCAGTTTGGAGGTCACCAGACGTTTAAAAGCAAAAGGAAAGAAATTGAATACCAATGGATTTTTTTCTGTTGATCCAAGCGGAAATGTTCTGTATGACGAAGCAAGGAAAAAGTCAGCATATGTTGAGGATAGAATATATAATAATCAAGACAGAAACCATATCCAGTCACTAAACCAACAATGTGCTAGAGATGGGATTACTTCTTCAGATTTCTTAACAATGAATTACTATTCTGAAGTGGAAGATTCAAGGTTGACAGAAACTGATCATTCACTTCAAGGAACTTACTGCCCAGTATCACAGTTAGATTATCAAATGCAGCAACCAACATTAGCACATAGAAAACAGTGTGTAGCAGGATCAAGTCAAGGAGAAATCCACTCACAGCTTCAGCACGATATTTCTTGTGGGAACCAACCCATAATGTACAACATCAATGGACAGAAATTCAATGAGGATAGGAATTTAGGGAAACAGAGTATTCTTGTAGAATCTGGAAGAAATATGGAAGAAGATCAGTTTGGTAGAAAAATTCACTACGATGAAAGACTTCAGGAAAACAGAGCTGCTCCAGGTCAAGTGAAGAAACCTGCATATGGTCAAAGATCATTTGCGGGTGATTTGGCTCTTGTAACCCAGAACATTCTTCAGAAGGCTACCAGTTCTGAGCTTCCAAGGAAAAGTTCTTCTGTTTGGCCACCTCACCGTAGAGTCAGCATCGGCTTGGCACCACCTCGACCCCGGGAAGATAGCACCAAGAAAAGTCAGTATGAAAAAAAAAAAAATATATATATATATTAGTTGTGAGTTTGACATCAATTGGTTATCTCCAAAGAGTTCCACAACAGAAAGAGGTTATTTTAGAGAGATATTGATTTCCAGTATTTTTATTTTTGTACCATATGGTGATTTAATGATGAAAAACAATTCCAAGATTTATCTTTCCATTTATGTTATACAGTGTAATACAGTAGAGACATTTGTTGTCACTGGTATTCATCTTTTCAAAAATATTATAATTTGTAGATCAGTCTAAGCTTCACCAACAACCACAATATCAACAACTACAACCTAACCCTGACAGAACTGCCAGGAACAGTCAACAGAGGAATGATCCCCAGCACTCTCATGATGCAGGATATGATGGACAGATGAGTGGGAGAAGTGGGGATTATAGCTCTGAGCAGCAAACATACGGAACTCCCCAGTGTGATGGCCAGTCATCGCTGTGGTCTTCCTATGATTCTCCTCCTATGGATCTTGACAAATCTTCTGATGATGGATATAACCATACTCAATCAGTAAGTCAGTGCTTTTTCTGGGGACTTTTTGGGGCTGATAATGGGCCCCATTCCCAATTGAAACTAAAATGTATTGCATATTTATGCCTTGGTCCAAAAATTTGCAGTTTACTCCTAAAACATTCCATCCCAATTGGTATATTTCCTTCCCAAAATGAGACAAAAAGGTCCAATCCCATTTTAACGAAATTTAGAGCTTATTGTCTTAACATTTTTTACGACCTTTGAGACGCATGATACAGTGCCTGTGTTATGTATCAAATAACTTCTTGTCCAGACAACCAATCCCTCACCGTCCATTCAGTTTCTTGAAATTGGTAGAAGTAACCACTGTCTGATGTAGATGTGCATGTTTATCGGATAAAATAATATAATCTACAGAGTTATTGCCCTTCGGTGTATTTTGGACATTAGAAACTTGTACCTCAGTTTTAGTTTCCACGAAACTTGTCTGGTGTTGCAGTTGTGATTTTATTTGAGACAAATTGATGCAATGTGTTATTGGCTATTGTGTTATTGAATTGGAACATTCAAAACCAGCCATTCTTTCAATTTTTTTTATAACTTATGTACAGAGTTGTGCAGACATCAAAGATGTATTGCTACTACTACTGTATGACCATTTACATCGTGATTTCCCGTCGTGTACTTGAATCAAACTTGTCATGATAACTAGTATGTCCTTCAGTTTCAGTCTGATATCCATCAAACTTGGTTGTGTTTAATCAAGAACTTTATTTTGCTTCCACAGAAATTGCAGGATAGGCCTATATTGTACCCATACAGTAATCTTTTGTTTTTTACAGATATACCACCAATCAAACCTGCAGTCTCACCAAAGACCTTCAAAACGTGAGATTTTTAGAGTCCATAAAATCTTAAATAGACCTTGAATTTTATTAACATCTTATTATAATATAAAAAGCTCTTACACTTAAAAAAAATCTCCTGATTTTAATATTTGAAATGTTCTTTGACATCAGGATAGGAATGTAGACAGTTTGGTAAAAATATGGAACACTTTCACAATGATTTTTATCCTTTACTAGTAAATTGTTGCAAAGTTGAATTATCAGGATCCATTACAGTTTGATAACAATAATAATGAAGCTTTTCCTGTGCCTTTATAATAGTTGCATCACATCTTTCTTCAGAATTATTTCCAACACAGAAGAAACTATCCTATAAACGTGTTCCGGGATCCAAAGGAGGTCAGACGAAATTGGTGTTCAAGGGGAAGTAAACAATTGTCTGGACATTCATGAATAACGTTATGTGAAGTTTGTAAAAATTACATGTACATTGTTAGACTTGGAGGTGCTTTATCATACATGACTCTACTTATCATAACGTCATTACTTTGAATATGTATATCTTCAATATCAAATTTTCACTGTGTGAGGAATGTTTCAAAAATTAATTCTGTATTAAAATTTTATGCAAAAGTAACAAATAAAGAAAATTAAGAAAGTTATGGAAGCTTTGTATAACTCTTTCACCAAAGAAATCATCATCATTCATAACTCTCCTTGACTGTATTCAGGAAGAGGAACATTATGGAATTTAAAAGAAGTCTCTTTTTACCAGTAGATCTCATTAAAAATACAGATTTTGTTTGATACAAGTTATTTCATGTCAACCAATATTTTAATGTTTTATATTTTCAACAAAATTTGTACAAAGTTCGCATTTAAAATAAATCATGGTATATAGCTGTGGTCAAATGGCCTTATGCCACTGTGCTTTGTCTGTCAGTCAACATTTTAGATATTGTGAATCGTTCATCATCAACAATATTAGATTGATATACTATGTACAAGTCATGTAATATGAAGTTTCAGTAAGGGTTCCTGAAGTATTTTATGTCACTAATCTTAGACTTTCCTGTACATTCAAGTGCCCAAATAATGATAATACTTTGAGACGCCACTGATATTGAGACCAGTTTGTTGACATTTTCATTACTTCCAGTTGATATATGTGCATAGACTCCTCAAAACTACATGAATTATTCAACATATCTTTAATAATTCAATTCACTTTAACACATAGTGTATACAAAACTAAAAGTTCTTATAGCACAAAAAGAACAATGTTTTTGGAACACTTTCAAAAAGTACATTTTATAATCCATTCACCATTCAGAACATTCAAATATGCATCGCTCAGTCCTATATCCACATATACAATATACACATGCACCATCCAGTAAATTTGGCTCTTTCATCCAGAATTTCTTCCAAGCACAATCCCACAATGATATTATGTTTTTTTCGCAATCACTTCATTATTTCCGTCTGCGTATTGCAGAGTTATCTTCTCTTGTGAGCAGGTATTGATTGTTACGTCATTGGTTTGTGTGAGAAAATTACGTCCTTTTCTCAAATATTGATGACGTAACTCTCACAAACAAATGACGTAACAAACAATACCTGCTCCCAAGAGCAGATAACTCTGCAATATGCAAAGACGGAATAAGTTACTGAAAAACCTTTGTCATTGACTGATATTTTTTTCGGGAAATTCTAACACTTTATCAATTATCCCAAAGTCTTTGGCAGTCTCTGCGTCCATAAATCTATGTCGTTGCATTACTTCCTCTGAAAATTAAGTAAAATTTAATAAAAGTGACAATACAAACAGATCCTGTAACAAAATCAGATTGTTCTTTTAGAAAGAATAATAATATGATGTCTCGTGTAATAGTATTTACATAAAGGTACCTGCAGGTTAAGCATATAAAAACATTGCATCACAATATGCTAATATGTACAGTAATTGCTGTTATTCTGAACGAAACTTTGTAACATACTTTTGTGATAACTCTTTAATAGTGTCAAATAGTTTCATACAATGGAATGGTTAATTCAACAAAGACACATTCAGATATGAAAACCTGTTTTTTTTAAATATGCATATCTCCAACCAGACACTCAGAACACAAAATACTGACAGGAATAACAAACCTTATTTGGTAATTTTTATATAAAAAAAAAAAAAATGGGACTTAGGCATGATGTTGAATTAGGTGTGCCTATACATATTGCCAAGTCATGTTAAGTTTTATTTCCATTTCAGTAAGTTCTTATTTATGAATAATTAATCAGGCGAAGTGCTTCTGATTGGTTTCTGTGCAATATCAACATTTATATACTGATAAATAATAGGTGTTCAGGTAAGTTTGATGCATATACACAAAGTTCAATAATTCTCATAGAATGGTTTAATTTTGACCAAATTTGATGTGCATATGCATATGAATGGGTTTGTCAGCCTCAACAATTCAGGAATATTTAGCATCCATACACATCCTAATTCAGTACAAAGATGGAGTTTCTGTAAAGGTTTGCTTAGGATTCTTTATCTTGTTCAGTATGTCTACACCAAAAGCACATTAATGAACAACACAGATAACATATCCTTCAAGCAGGTGATATAGTTCCATTTTGAATGATAGCACAACAAATTAATGATGTTCATAAACATCAAAAACATTTTGACTAGTAATTCCAAGTTCAACCCCATTTTACAGCACACACTGACTGACCTATTTGTTCCAGACTTCTCCCTGTATGCTTGGCATATATGTTGTTCACTTGATCCAAAATCCTGGAGATTTCTTCTGCTTGAATTGCAACATCTGATGCTTGTCCCTACAAACATCATACAGAAGTAACCATCAACAATCCTTCAACCTACTGCAGATACTAATATATTGTTAGAAAGCATTCAACATTGTTTCAGCTGCTCTAAGTCCGAGGCAGTTAATATCAAAGTTAGAAAGTATCAAACTAAATTTAAACTTGACCTGTAATATAACTGGCCATTTAAAGGCAAAAGGTACAATGACATCAGTTATAATTGCAAAGAAAAAGTTTCACTCAAAGCTGTTTCTGGTCTAGAGTTACTTCCCTTGACCAGGTATTCATCTGTCAATATTCAAATTCTTTTCCTGCCTGGTCTTCTATTCGATCCATCCATTTCTTTCTATTATCAAGTATTTAAATATTGAACAAATGATGGTGAAAATATAGTAAAATGTCATGGTACCCTTTACCTTAATGTATAAAGTCAGACACTTCATAATTTTATATAAAGTACTATAAACATAGCTACATCAACGATTGTTATGATATATATTTAAGATGTAATATAGATGGTATCTCGCTGATAACCAAAGACATATTCTACTACAAATCAAAAACTTTTCTCAGTCAAAATCATCATTAAAGTATGAAAAGCAGGTGCAGACTAATCTGATTCTGTTTCATATTTATAGTTTAAATGACAGTTCCATTTACTTCTAATTGAATGGGTGCCTGATGTTAAATAAAACATATGCTGAACTTCAGGCCTGGCTTCATTTTCCCAAACGTTCCTTAATGTTGGGAAAGTCTTTAACTTCAGATTTTACAAAAGAAAGCCTTCTTTGACTTCAGGAAATTGCCTTTAATGAAAATTCTTTTATAACCAGTAACACTTTCTAATGGAACACCTCAAGAAAATTCCTGAAGTTAAAGAAATTGGATGAAAATTAGACCAGATTTATTAGGCTTGCTATCATTATGACTAGTGCTATCCTTACCTTGCTCATGATATTGCAAGAAAGAAAACCCCAGTATACAGTATATAAGACCTGATCAAACTTACACTAAGTCCACTGACAGGCTGCATAAGTGTGATCCTGGAGTGGGGTAATGCGTTTCTCATCCCAGGTGCTCCGGCTGCTAGTAGCAGAGAACCCATGTCTGTGGCCTGGCCCACACACCATGTGGCTATTGGGTTGCTGACGAACTGCATGGTGTCGTATATACCCAGTGTTGATGAGACTCTTCCACCTAAAGGGAAGATGATGGTTTAAAACAGTAATTTATATTTTATATAGCAATTTGATGCATGGTTGGAGTTTATTAATAGTATCGTTGTTTATAATAATTCCAGGATTGTTTACTCAGAATCCATAGCGATATCATAGGACAGGTAAACATTGAACAGTTAAAAACATCAATGGTATTGCAAATAGGAAACAACAAAATCTATGAAAATGTATTTTGCTATTTTAGAAATACCAGGTAATTTCTCAAAAAAAGAAAGAAAATATTTGTAAAATACATGTGCCCTGCTTCTGCTTTGATTGAAATGTAGCTATGTAGCTCAATGAAAACTCTGATCAAATGTCAGTGAAACAGAAAATAAAGCTCACAGTATTGATATTTTGGTGTAGTTCTCTGAAGATGTATCGATATATAAATAATATTTTATTATATTATAATGCAGTTTGATGGCTGTTGTATTGGAGCAATGGAGTTAAATGCAAAGTCTCACCAAGGATAATGAAGTAGACCTACATACCACTGAACCTTCATTATATATGCTACATATATGTCCAGATAAAGTTTGGCATTATAAAAGGGTATGGTACAAACATACAGACATACAATCGTATATATTGTTAGGAAAAAGGGGAAATGGGACCTTGAATAAATTGATGGTAGGGGAGGTTGTAAATGAGGAAGGGCATTATATCAAGGTTTTACTGTTTATCTTTAGTGATCACCTGCACAGTTGATATACATGTGGATAGTTTGTTTGGTGTTAGCAGCCTGTAAGTATAGGATCTGGGCTATGATGCTTCCTGCCACGACATCACATATCTGTGAAAACAAAACATTAACGGTTAACAACATATCAGGAAATCTTTTGTCAACTAATTCTGTCATGCAAAACAAGGATTCTACAGCTGGCAAAACTTGTACAAAGGATATTTTCTCTCGGTACATAAAACTGAAAGTTATGAAATTTTATAAACCTTGAAGCAGATGCAGATGCTCTTGCAACATGCTGTATCTATAGAGGAGCATCAGCATGTGAAATTGTGTGACCCCAACACACAGTACTTAGTTAAAAACGAACTCAAAAGTGAAAACTTAATTAACCAAGGTTACAGAAGGCAATGAACACTGATAGTCACAAATTGCCCAGCAACATTTGCTATCAACTAAGGCACATACATATATATATGTGAAGTTAAACAAAGTTTTTTATTGCAGAATACAAACTCTTTATCACAAAGTTATTTTAATTCATGATATTAATGCATGCACTATGTGCACCATTGTTAATTCTTAATCATAGTTGTAATCCCTCATTAGATGAACATTGTTAATTAAGCACTTTTTGTAAATCAAGCATCCCTAGTATATGCAATAAAAAGTGTATTGTGTTGGATTAAATCAGTGAACATATAATAAATTAATCAATTATCAACCTCAGAAATATGTTCGATGAAATTTAGTATCATGTTTCAAATAAAGTTTTCCTTTTGATGTCACAGCATGTGGACCAATATTGTCCGAGTTTCTTTCAAGTGCTGTTTTAGAATTTCCACCTATCAGTAAGGAAAAATTGAAATCGTATTGAAACATCTTAAATCTATCATACTTTTGTTTTAGGTAACCAGTGTTACCCAAATTACCTTTTTTATTGTCTCATTGTAGACTGCCAACTGTAAACACTTTTGTACTTCTGGAAACCCTACGACAGATTCTGATGAAACTTGAAACCTGTGGTGGGGATCACATTCTGAACTCAAGAATTTGAGGAGGCTGATCCCCACCGGGGTCAAGTGTTTAAACATTAAAGGGTCACTGAGTACAAACTTCCCAAGTCTTTCATAAAGTTTCCAGTATGTTTCCTCAAGAATATTTATTTCAGTTGAAGTGAATTTTACTAAATAAAAATAAGTCCAATCTGAATTGAGCTGAATGCTTTTATCAGGCCAAAACAAATGTCTGTTTAGGGTTCCTGACCGACCCTAGCTTTTTACCCCCGACCCAAAACTTTTTGATGAAAGAAAAAGAAACGAAGAAATAAAATGAAAATCCTGCTGATTTTCGAATTTGCCTTTCCAAATGTCAGCATATGGAGCACAATTTGCCTCAAAATGAACCTTGTTTATGTAATTCTTTGTTTTACAAAAATAGTACGGTAATAATCACATGACCACATGGTACACAAAAATATACAAAAAAAAAAGAAAAAACAATCGACCTACCTTCCCTTGTTTTTTTGCAACCCTAAACAGACAAAAAAAAATTGGCTTCATTGATTTGTTTATATGGTAGACCCTGTGTATTATAGTGTGACCTTTGCCTTTAGCTGAAGCTTCTGAATGTAGGATACAGTCTAACTGTATACTCAGTCACTCACAGGTGTCATGATGCAAATGATCCTTTGCTGGAGTAAATGGGCATAGATGTTGGTTTCGGGTGGAGTTTCATCTGCACGAGCGTGACTATAGGTTTTTCTACTCCTTGTATGGTGGATCATTCGTGTTTGTATATTCCTGGGCACGAAACGCAGACATCTCTGTTAAAAAACAAAAGAGCTTTATTATGATATACACGTACATGTATATGAATATGCAAACGAAAGTTTATGTCAATTCTAACTGGTAAAATATTTGTTTGGTCTGGACTATATTCAAAAAGAGATTCTCTGTTAAAAATATTGTTTTCTTAAGGAGTGAAGACTTAAGCATGTTAGCAGAACTAGACGGTCAAAAAAATTGCAAGTACCAAGTACTTGCAAGTAACTCAACTAGACATGTGTCTATAGAGGTCCCAGGTTCAAATCTCGTCTAGCCCTGTTGTATATATACATGTATATATAAAGTGATAGCATATATATATATATGTGATTATCTCCCTTTACTTGTAATATAATGTTTTTGTTATTTTACGTATGTTTGTGGCAATGATAGCTATCAAGAGCTAATGTTCCTTGTTAACCTGTATGCCACATTAAATACAGTTTCTTGTATCTTGTATTTCTTGTATCATATTCTAACTACTTATCTATGAAAGTAATTTTATAAGTGAAAGTACAGTAGGCACTAAAGTTTATGGAAAAAAGAATCACATTTGTGCTTTATGAGCATTATTAGCTCACCAGGTCTGAAGGACCAAGGTGAGCTTATGCTGTGCTTATACTGTGGCATCCGTCTTCCCTCCTCCGTACGTCAACAGTTTCTTCAAACGACTACTTCTTCTTAACTACTGATTGGAATTTAACTAAATTTGACTGGAAACATCCCTAAGTGGTGGGGATTCAAAATTGTACAAATGGTGGGGCGGAGGGGCTGGGCCAAAAGGGGACAATTTGGCTATGTTGCTATAAACGACTTCTTCTGTAAAACTATCTCATGGATATCAATCATATTTGGTCAGAAGCATTCATGGGAGGCGGGGATTCAAAATTGTACAAATGTTGGGGCTGACCCCTAAGGGGGATGAGGGACGGAGCCAAAAAGGGTTATATGAAATGGTTAAGATCCCCACCCCAAAACTGTATATACAATTGTTGGGCATAAAGAGATGAATGCAGTCATGATATTAGAATTGATCCCAGGGTCTGCCCCACCCTTGCAGACTTAACCTGTGGGTCATAACTTTGAAATGGTTGAGATCCCCACTCCAAAACAATAAATAAAAATGCTGGGCATAAAGAGACGAATGCAGCCATGATATTTAGAATTGATCCTGGGGTTTGGCCACAACCCTAGGGACCTAGTAATTCTGAGTCACAGCTTGGAAAAGCAGTGGAGATCCCCACCCCATTACCATACATAAAATTGCTGGGCAAGGAAAATCTAATACAAATATATTACAAGGATTGGCCTTGGGGTCTGGCATATTCCCTTGGATCTCATTTGGAGAATATTTTGCCATGATTGCTTAGATATCCAGGTGAGCGATACAGGCCCACTGGGCCTCTTGTTATACGCCCGTCAAATTTGACGGGAATATTATGGTATGGCGTCGTTGGTCAGGCCGGCATAAACTTTTGTTTGTCCGACAATCTCCTCATACATTTTTCGACCGATCTCTTTGAAACTTGGTTTACAATATAATCTTGATATGAAGTTGTGTCTCCCTTAAAAGAATTTTGACTTGATAATTTTTTCAAAAGTTATTGCCCTTTGATTTCAGTATTTGGTTTTTTGTCCGGAGATCTCCTCCTACATTTTTTGACGGATTATCATATGTTGTTGTGTTTCATTGAAAAGAATTTTGATTGAACAATTTTTGCAAAATTAAGTTATTGCACTTTGTTCATTTCAGTATTTGATTTTTTTTGTCCAGAGATTTTCTCCTACATTTTTTTATAGCATGTCAGCTTATAACCACTCTTAGAATGATGCAGATCTTATTTCAATGTAAGGAAGTACATAACACTATATGGCATTTGACGGGCGTATATTGTTCAGCCCCGCGGTACTCTTGATTTTATGTTGTTACAATATATATGTCAAGGTATGATCAGATTTTAAAAAAAAATGACTTGACGTTAAAGGTGATTAATCATGCAGATCACATTACTTTTCCTCTGGCCCCAACACCAGACTTAGACATTTTGACATATAGATGTCTGGTGTTGGGTCAGAGCACACTTCTTTATGAAAGCATGGATTTCTCCGACACCGTTTGGTATCCGGGAGTGACTTATCAACAAAAAGATGCGGTCCAGAAATCTAACCAAGTATAATGTATCCCGAAGGCGAGCCCCTGTGCATGCCATCCGGTAAACTTGACAGAAATTTGAATGACATATATAGCTATTTTTGTTATTGATGCTACATTCATGTATGTGCATATAGAAAACAGATACATGAGTCCTTGAATTGTTAAATCCTTGCCTCGACAGCAGAAAAATTGTATAACCGTACCTGCAGCAGTGCCATTTCGGAAGATGTTGCGTCAAATTCTGCTTCCGGGCAATGATAAATAGAAAAATGAAATACGATTTATTCCGGATACAAATATTAACGAAACTGTTTTGTCAAGCGTTATTTCAAATTTTTGAAATACCATTAGTCTTTTAAATTTTTACCATTTTATCTTACTTAAAAACGTTTAATTTTACCTGTCATATTGTGCTCAGTAGAAGTTGAAGTTTTCAGACTTGTGCTCGGACATAATTCTACTTCCGTTGAAAAAAAACATGGCCGATTATTCCTGACAACAAAGACGTCAGGGGACAGATCGCTTTGTATTTTTGCAAATTTGCGACGGATTACCATGTCAGTCTACATTCGGAAAGACACATTTATCTTATCTGAGTAAGTTTTTGCAATGACACGTAATTTGTCGTTATTGTTGATGTTTAACTCACCACGTTGACTGGCAGAACTTACCGTTGCTAGGGAAGCAGCAGGTGCCCTTTCTGTCTGATATTTATCTATAATGTAACTCATTTAGGTTTGAAATATGACTTTATTTTCATTTTCTGAAATCAATAAATATTCGGACTTGTGTAAAGTTTGAATGAATTTTAAGGAGATCTTCTTCTTCTAAATCATAACACTCTGTACATACACACAGATACACAGATTTATTCTGACTGTAGGAAATTGTACAATTTCCTCTGCTGTCAGCTCAATTATAAAAGTTACAATAGTACATATAGTTGGTTAAACATATTAATAACATGATTTCTGAGTATTTTTTTCGAGTCCATTACAGATAGCTGCACAGTTCCATAGAGAACAGATGTTCAATGATAAGTAATTATATTACAGTAACATTGTGAATTGAATGTGTGGTTCAAAAATAAAAATGTTGGTACGTATATGGGTGTCGCTACATAAGCTACATAATCTTTTACTTGACGCATACCAATTATATTGAATAAGTGTTTTATTTGTTTACACAAATTACAAAATATTTTAACATGATTTAGTTAAATTACATGCATATATCTAAAATTTATTTCATATATATTTCCTCCAATTGATTTTTCGTTTCATTTCAGTTACAATTTTCTTCAATTACCGTACATATTATTCAACTTATGTAATGTTTTAATATTTAAAAAAAATTGCAGTCAAAAAAGTACAGACACCATGTCAGGAATTGACAGACAAAATGTGATGAGACTACGTATCAACAGAATAGCTTTGGTCCAGGAACTGAAGATCGATCACATTATTGGAACTCTTATAGAACATAACTTAATAAACAATAATGACCAGAAGAAAATTGGACATGGTACTACACATGCAGACAGAGCTCGTATTCTCATAGATTTACTGCCCTCAAAAACAAGCATCCCTGAATGGTATAGTCTATTCCGTGATGCTATGTTGAACCCAGATGCTGGCCCAGAGGTCAGAAAGAGGTATCGGTCTCTTGTGGAATTCCTTGACAACACTGTGATACACCGCCCAACATCACAAGCTACAAAGTTTAGTGAGACAATGGACAAAAGGAGGCTCCCTCACTATGAACCTGTCCCACCCATCATTAAAGAAAATAAGAACCAGTCCAACCCCCAAAATGTCCTCAACCTTGATGATGAGAGACGGGAGGCACCTCCAGACCAAGAGATGGAAAAACAGACAAAGGACATGATACCAGAGAGAGGGGACAAATCAACTCCCTGGAATCAAGACAACCAGGACTCTATGACCCTTATCAAAGGTTTTTTCCAACAGTGGGTGCCTACTCCAGACAACTTCAGGTCACTACTCCAGGTAAGAAACACTGGAATAGGGTAGGGTATATTGTCCCTATTTATCCCAATTCAGTATTTTATAATACGGTCCAATATCAGTTTTGCTCAAATTTGCCATTTAAGAAATGTGCTAACTGGTTTGTGATTACATGGTATCTCTGGTTTAAATAATTCACCATATGCAATAAGAAATCCACAACTTGCTGTGTGCTAAATGTTACCTGTATCTTGTTGGAATTTAACCCAAGGCAAATTAGGCAAGATAAAGAAATATTTTGTGGAAGATTTTAAATAAATAAGTTTTATTTTATCTATATAACCATGATTAATATTGCACTGTACATACAATTTACACCTTACAGGTTCCTGAGGATCATTTCCAAGCTCTTCAAGAGTCGACCCACCCTGATGACAAAGCACAGCTAGCCTTAGAGACAAAAGCTTTAGAGAAAATAAGGAAACTGGAACTAGTTGCAGTACTGGCAAGGAGAAAACAGCTTCCACAGGGATTTGAACTCTGCATGTGTGATGTGGTACATGAAATTTTGTTTGACTCAGAAAATTATCACCTGTTTTTTAAATACATTAAAAACCTTCAAGATTCAGAGGTACATTTGCTCAGTGACATTGTGGATTCTTATTCTTCGGTAATGCAAGCACTAGATCCATCAAAATCAGGCGATGACACAAAACAGGCAATCAAACTGGGTTATCACCTGATAGACTTCCTTGCAGAGTTTGGATATTTCAAGGAAGCAGAGCTCATCATGGCTGTTCTCCTAGTGGTTCTCAACCAGACAGACAACATGGAAACATGGATGACCAAATACAAAGGGTTCGTGAAGCTCATGAGGCTACGAAATATGAATTACAATTTCAGTGGATCATACAGTGCCTACTCCCTGGCCACTGAGATGATGTGGAAGATCAAAATGATGTCATTTGGACAGGATCTGATACCAAAGGCTGAGTTGTATAATGAGATCTGTCAGATGATGTTGGAGAGAGGATCAGTGAATGCTGCCTTTGGTTGGGCACAGAAAGCTCTGAAGGTAAATCAAAGCACTTATTACTATCTTAGAAAATATGGTTTTGGTGCATAAGTTATTTAAATCTGAACATGAGAACAGTTTTATGAATAAAGACCCTGATAAATACGATTCCATAAATATTGATAATTGAGATTGTTCTCATTCATATCTTAAACCAAAGAAAAAAGTAAGCTGATGCAGAAACATTTAATAAAATTAAACTGTCATTTACCAGGTATAACATTTTCTGGATGGCTATGAAAAGTTTAATTAACCTGAGGAAAAGTGATGTAAACTGACAGCAAAATTAGCTGAGTTGACATACTTTTTCCCAATATTATCAGATGCAAAATAAAGTTACAGTTGTTTTGGAAATTTGCTACATTTTATATAGTTTGATTTTTCTGTCATCTTATACACCTAAAGAAATATTTGAAATAAAGCTTATGATAAAGTGGAAGCACAGTCCATGGTATTATGTAATAACTAATAGAAAACCGAGTCAATTGGTATGATTTTTATACGCCCGTCAAAGTTGACGGAAGTATTATGGTATGGCGTCGTTGGTCAGGACGGCGTAAACTTTTTGTTTGTCCGTCAATCTCCTCCTACATTGTTTGACGGATCTCTCTGAAACTTGGTATACATTATAATCATGATATGAAGTTGTGTCTGACTTAAAAGAATTTTGATTCGACAATTTTTTCAAAAGTAATTGCCCTTTGTTTATTTTGGTATTTGATTTTTGTCCGGCAATCTCCTCCTACATTTCAACAGATCTCTTGGAAACTTGGTATACATCATAATCATGATATGAAGTTGTCTGCCTTAAAAGAATTTTGATTCAACGATTTTTTCAAAAGTTATTTCACTTTGTTCATTTCAGTATTAGATTTTTTTGTCCGGAGATTTTCTCCTACATTTTTTATAGCATGTCAGCTAACCACTCTTAGAATGATGCAGATCTTATTTCAATGTAAGAAAGTATATAACACTATATGGCATTCGACGGGCTTATATTGTTCCGCCCCGCGGTACTCTTGTTACCATTTTTCACATGATATAAATATGATTTACATCATTTATTAGACTATGTATATTAAAACAATTAAATTCATATAAATTATATGTATTGATGATAAGATGTGAAGTAGCATGTGATAAGTCATTGTTAGTACCCGGTATATGTATTTCTGTTGAAGGTCAAAGATGTTGAATTAACTGTTTTACTGTAGTGTTGGCTAGTAAATAACCTGCTATTGATTGTCTTATTTTGTTAGGAGGTGCAGGAGACTGACACAGTGAATGTTATCAACATCCTATGTACAGCTGTGGTAGCCTACAGTGCTAAGTGGCAGGTAAAGCGCGCCGAGCAGCTGGCCATACATGCCGTTCAGCAGGCCAGGTAAGTCAGTCAGGGATTCTTCACTTAATGGTCTGCGTGGATGATTTGATAACTACTTGAGTACAAACATGTATACAGTCAAACCTGTGTTAAATGACACCTGAATATTCTGACAACCTGCCTCATCTAACATAATGCTGTTATCCTGTTTATAATGGAAATGACCAAATAAGAGCTGTGTATTAATTCTTACTTCCTGTCCAATCTGACCATTATGTTGTGTCCCAAATAAGGTGTCAGATCGGTAAATAACCTTTTTTTTTCGCTAATGTCTGATCCGCGGGAGGTTCTGGGTTCTACAATATGTTTACATCTTCAGTGAACCCTCATCCTCATTTTTATTTATGTAAAGTATGTATGTATTTTTTAATACTTATTTATTTTCAAAGCACTATCTACATCTTTACAAATTGTCTTTATTTTTATATGTCACGATAATATGATCCTATTTGTTCCACTAGATCCATGTTTGGACCAAGACATCCCTTGTACCTGAAGGCACTCCTTGCTTTCTGCCATTTCTCAAATGAGTTTAAACAAGACCAGGCTGGCCTTGATGTTGCTCAGGTAAATGTTTCTTCTGTTTTGTGTCATTTTGTAAGGTAAATATGTACTGGGAGGGCTAATTATAATTGGTCAGCTAAATGAATCAGATATGGGTAAGTGACAGTGCTTGTCTTGATGTTATTGATATACATTTCATTCTGAAAACAAATATATACATCAGAACAAAAATTTAAACCTATGAGAAAATCTAACATGTAAAACAGGATTTCGAAGGATCATCTGGAGGAGAAATTAACCATAGATGGTACATGTAGTAATTTAAAAGGAGTTTGGATTAATTGTTAGCTCAACTTACAAAGTGTATAAAATGTTCCTTCTTACCCAGCATGCACTAGAGGTAGCCCAGAAGATCTATGGCTGTGACATGATAATGACTGCCCTGGCCCACCGTGCTGTGTGTAAGGCCTTGCTGGTCCTTCAGAAGTTTGATGACTTCAATTATGACAACCATGCTAATGAGGGATTGAGAAAAGCACGGATTCTCCTCAGGGACAACCATCCCATGTTATACCTCTTCCTCCATACAGCAGGTAACATATGAGTTCAATTGGCTGTAAGATCTAGAGTGTCTACGGTCATTTAAACCCCATGCATTGTATATATAATTTCTTCGAAAAATTCATTTTGTTGTACATTTCATGAATAAAAAATTCTTTGAAGAAATAGAAGTGTTTGCAAAAATAAAATGATTTCCTTTTTTTGCACTGTGTACTCTTAGCTGTTACCAGTTTTCAATTTGCTTAACGTTTCTTTAATTTATATTGTCAAAATGTTAATACAGCTGATGAAAGCTGTTCATGGAATTTACTGTTCGGTTCAATAGGGAGCAAAAAATCTTTTCGTTTATTATCCCCAGCTTTCACCGAAACGGGGGATATTAATTTGGGTTTGTATACGTCTGTCAGTCTGTCTGTCACGCTTCGTTTCTGTGCAATAATTGCAACAAATGTTAACCAATTTTTCTTCAAACTTGGTACCAGAGTAAAATGCCTTAAGGGCTCGACCAAGTTCGATGACCACTTTCAGCGGACTTTATGTGGCGAAGTTATGGCCCCTTGAATAACGAAAAACGTCATTATCTACAGTTTCCGCTTAATAACTCTAGCAAATATTAGCCAAATTCCTTCAAACTTGATAACAATGTTTGTGTTCCTCTGTCTTTCCACCCATCCTAGGCACTCTTTGTATTGCCGTCGATATTGTACAGATATTTCAACCATATTTTAACCTAACCTCAATAATGTTTACCTACAATATGTCATGCAAGCCGGGGACATAAATTCTACAAATTTGCTTTTTTTTTTTTTTTTTTTCGATTGTACATTCTTATAAATGATGGCCTAAAGATATCGGTCTAAACCAAAATATATCATAAATCTTTGGCAGACAGCCAGGTAACACACATTTGTAATTGATCTTTGGTACAATATAGCCACAGCTCTCCAGTGGAAAGCTCTTCACTCCTCAAAGGATATGATGAATGCAACACTGACATTAGCCGAGACAGAGGCTAAGATCGCCATCAGTATAGTTGAGGAATACTATGGTGAAATCAGTGTGAGGGCTGCCCAGATGAATTCCTTACTTGGGCAGATCTACTCCAAGATGGACAGGTACTGTATGATGTGTCCATGAATATTGTATTTATCACTTCGGTTATCGAATGTGGATCAATTTCTATTTGGACAATGGGGAAATTTTGCTTGAAAGGGAATCAATATGTTTTTTGAAAATATGAATCAATAGACAAAACCTGGATTCTGGGCTTTGATCCAACCCTTTTAGTAGTACAGTACATGTACTACTCTAGTTTGTAATATTTACATCAAGAATAAAGAAAAGATTATGCAATGCATTTTGGGTACTTATATAGCTAAATAACTGTTGGTTTCATATTTTGTAGGCTACAGGATGCCGAGAAGATGCTCTACAAGAGTGCTATGTGTTTCAAGCTGTGTTTGAGCCCCAACAGTAACTTCCGCTTACTGTCTATGGCTACCCTTGGTACTTTCTACAAGATCTTTGACAAGCCAAAGGAAGCTATCCTCATGTTCAATGATGTCATCACCAATATAGGTATTTGCTGCTTTTTTATAAGATTGTCATTAGCCAGACTTTCAGTGCAGGGATCATTTAAGAGGAGATTCATTTGGCCCCAAAAAGTTTTCAACTTACCCTTTACTTTTTAGTTTTTATAAAGAATGGTCTCTACAAACTTCCACTTTGTTTGATCTAAGCATTCTAACAACCGTTTTCAAAATCAGATAATCCTTAAAGATGGGGTAATTTGTCTTATCTTGGATTCCTATCTCAGAAATATGTTTTTCTTTTTGGCTATTAATAATCAGGTCCGTTTTATAAACCGTTTAAAGGTTTAAACAACATCATCTCCAGGCTGTGTCCAAGTGTGTGATCATCTTTGCAAATAATTTATGCTCTAAATGGATAAAGCTCAGATAATGTAATTACCAGACTGATATTGTTGTGTAATCAAGGATTATATGTAATATGTATAATGTTTATGTGAAACTTAACCTGGTGTTTAAATAAAGTTACCTCGTTATTTGAGATGGAAATGTTATCCTTAAATCTAACCCTGACAGGCTGAACTCAAGTATTATGTTAATGTATATATGTGTTTTATGATGTTTACTATATGTTACATTCTAGAGCAAAGTGCAAATATTAGATTTTAAGTACATGTACTGATACTTAACTTTTCAGGGAAAAATTCAGCAAATTTTATAAGAAGGATAGCATTTTCAGCTTGAAATTTTACCTACAGAAATAGCTTACTATTTAACAATACCTAATTATACATTACATAATAAATACAGGTAGATATTAAAGAATTGCTAATTAAGTTAATATCACTATTTCACATTCTACCTTACAGAACCATGTGGAGTTTACCTGAAATGGGTTCATGTTTGCTTTGAGCACCTAGTGAGTACACTACAGTCTATCAACTTGAACAAGGAGGCTGATGAGGTACAGATTAAGCTGTCCCAGTGGTTACGGGACCACCCAGTGTATGATCATGTTGTCACTGTTGAAGACCTGCAGCAGAAACCACAAGCCTTTGCTCGCTTCCAGGAAGACTTCAACATCTGGGAGAAACGTACCAAGAAGATTTTAGACATGGTACTGAACAAAGACAAATAAACCAAAATCTCAGGAAACAGTTGATTAAAAACTGCCTGTGATGAAAATATAACACTTTAAATACCTTTAACTTTGACTGAAAAGACTTTTGATAAAAAATAAGCCAAATAAAATCATATTTCTTATTACAGATATGACTATCTGAAATTAACTCTATTTGCAATGACATATAAATCTTTAAATTATTATATAAAGCAGAATATGAGTTTAAGCCATAGTAATGGAAGTTGGCAAAATCATATTCTTTCAAGTATTTATAGTCTTCAATTCATTACCTGATCAGAAATATTTTTCTATGTGTAGCATAAAGTACTATAATCTAGTAACTGGTAAAACCATTTCTTTCAAGTTTATATGGTCTTCCAGTGAAAACTTGATGAAGTATAATTTTCCACTGCCCTGTTTTGGTATATATTAATCGTAACAAGTGAAGCTCCTTAAATCTGAGTCTTGCCTTGTTCCAGAGGTAGTTGGTTTGAGCAATTTGTATGAAAACAATTTTTCGGTGTGGAACATTATTCTGTATGAAACACAAGATAAAACTTGACCTACTTGAATAATAATCCAAAATAATAGTTAATGAGGGAACTTTGGATGAAGTGACAGACAATGCTGAAGAAACATTCCTAAGTACTCGTGTGTTGGGGATGGCAACTGTAACCGTAGTTCACAGTTTACTCAATTCCCTTCTAGAATAGACATCCTCTGAAGATCTGTTCAAAGGTTTTATTTTTCTTGTGAACAGACACTATTTTCCACGTGAACTTTAATTACAGCTTAGTAAAGATCATTACAAACCCTTAAGGTGGGCAAGGCATTACATTATATATACTGGTACATTAATAATAATAATAATAATTTGAGGTTCTTATATACTGCTTTATCACAACCTAGTTCATAGGTCGTCTCAAAGCGGTTCACAAATTATTATCCGAGGTTATAGGGCCTTTGCAACCAGCCAAAATCTTTCTCAACTCCCTGGGGAGCATACAGCTGGTGCTGCCATTTTGGCGCTCACAGCTAGCATTCTACAATTCTAGCACTGCCCAACCACATACTCATTTACAGCTGAGTAGACTGGAACAAGCGGCATAAAGTATCTTGCTCAAAGATACAACACAGTGCCATGCCGTGACTCGAACCCGCAACCCTTAATTCGGTCATGAGCCCAGCGTCCTACCACTAGACTAACATGCCTCCTATACATGTACTATCTTTGAAAATCCATGCTGGTACATACAAACATTGAAATCCAATCACAACCACTAGACAAATCTACCCATATAGTATGTACAGTTTGTTTAACTCATTTACCCCCACATATTTATATTGGACTTGCCCAGTCTTTGATTTGGTAAGGTTCAAATGTGACTTTAGGGTTGAATGGGTTAAGAGTTAAATGAATAGTTATTAAGTTATATGAAAATTAAATAAAAAATTGAGGGGGAAAATTCAGAGATTTGCAGTAAGAACATTTATGTTAATCATGTTTATGATGAACCAAACTTCTTTAAAAAGGACATTCTGTTTCACATAATCATATCAAAAATAAAGCATTTAAAAAAACTGTTTTTGTCTTGAAATTTAATTATCTACACCCTTTGATGCAAAAACAGTATTCTGGTACCTAATACTTTGAACTAATAAATATGTGATAAAATAGTTTGTAAATAAAACTCTTGGTATTTTTATATGAATGTATAGTCTGTGTTACTTGTTTGACATGTTCTTGTTTTTCGTGTATATTTTAACTTTTATAACACAATAACTCTTTCTTTTACATACATATATGATATGTCTCCCTTTATAAAAGTCCTGAAATAAAAATTTACTATTTTTGTAGAATTGTTTTCTATCTACAGGTTACTGATAGATTTGTTTTTTGCAAATCAGTCGAATTTGTTATGGTATTTTGTAGACATGAATGTGTGTAAATACTATTTGATGTCTTTGTTGGTGTTTGAGGTCCGATATAAATGTTGTTTCTTGTCTATTTTGCACTACATTTCTCCAGTATAAATTTACTTCTCAGATATCTAATATTCTAATACAGTGTGCTTTTATATCCTTCAAATATTGTATAGTTCAACACGTTTATTATATTATTAAATGAAAGCATGTAAAACTGTCACTTAAACATTGTTTCAGTTTTTTGTTGTTGGTAGAATTATGTAGATTCCTAATATCAATTTACCTATTAGTATTAAAACCTGCAGACCTAAATTAGATATTTCCCAAAATTGAAGTTTCATTTTGTCTAATTTACAAAATAAAGCAATATTGAAATTTGATAGTGGATATATATTCTGTAATGAATGTTAATTGACCAAGTAGAAGACATTGCTAACTCTTCACTGTATCCAAAGCTGTAATGGGTTACACAGGTCACTTTCTAAAAAACTGCAGGGTATCTGATTGACACAAAATGTGGAAAAATTGTTTGAAGAAAGAATAACGGTTGATTTAAAGATCTAGAACATACATATGTGATTATGTAAATACAAAAGTTTTATTGACGTGGAGAATGACCATTCTGTAGTATTGGGACAAAACTAACTTAATTGATGGGTATAACATTGTACATAACAGTAACATTATAATTAGTTATACTACAATATTGAGGGATATTTTTCAGATGGAAAAGTTTGTATGAAAATGCAATTTTGCATAATAGGAGAAATTCAAAATTATGTTTTTGTTCATGTTTTGTATATGTTCCTGTATATATATATATTTTTTTATACATATTTGGTGTCAAAATTTTACAGCTTAAAACAATGTTTAATTGTATGATGGAAAAGTTTTTCATGTGTACTGTGAAATGTATTAATTACAGTAGCATTCTTGCACTCTATCTACTGGGCTTGTGTACATGAACAAACTAAATTTAGTAAACATCATTGGTTTACTCTATTATACTTACCATAACGGTTGTGAATTTTATGAAATAGTTATATCCTTTCATAAAGTTTTCTTGAATATCATAGGCTCATGTTCTTCGTCCTGTTACTTGCACACTACCTTAATTAAACTTCCATCATTTAAGACCGGAGTTGTTTTTATTGACACACCTTCAGCTTTAGATACGTATGTAGAATTGACAGACATCGGGATATTTAAGGATTGAAATGAATCATTTTAACATAATGATGGTATACAACACAGTTCCATTTAAACATATTCGGTGCTGCCAGTCAGTGCATGTATTCTTACGGAAACGTAATGCATATACAATTTATATCTGTTTTATAAAGTTATAGAACTTCTGTTTTCGTGGAAAAGATAGTGTTTTATGAAATTATCTGTTCAGTCAGAAAACACTTATCACTCAGGAATAGTCTGAGGTTCAGTTTGGTTTTATTTTGTTTAACGTCCTATTAACAGCTAAGGTCATTTAAGAACGTGCCTCCATGTGTGTTATGTAAGCATGCATGCGTGTATGTGTCCTGGAGACAGGGTATATTGGTATACTTGCTCCTTGTGATAGCTCCTAGGGACAGAACCCATTGTCTTCCTCACCTGGCCGAATGTTCAACATTAAAGCCAAAAGTGAGGTATTACCTAGCATGGCGTTAGGAAATAAAAGGAAGTTAGAAGTGGAGAGAAATATAAAGATGCCAACTATTGTAATTGGTGCAACATATTTTGGTTGCTTTTGTGTCCCCAAGTAGAGGACAGGAAAGCAAGATTCCAATTCTGCAGGGGGTTCGCTCATTAGTCACCTGTCACGATACATGCAATGGCCTGGGGATTTCGTCATAAAGTTTTTGAGTTATGCACTTAGAGTTAAACCGTGAACTTCTTTATGGAAGACTACAACCAAAAGATGACAGAAATGTATCCTAGTTCTGTGTGTATTGTTAGTAGCAAGTTATAAAAAGACAACTTTAATTTGATCTATTGCTTGGTTGTGTGGTCCTCAATACCTGAGTATAGAGCAAAGAATTTGTAAAATGGCTGTTGAAGAGTTATTTGCCATGCAAATTAGAATACTGGCAACCATACATTCCAAACGATTTTTGTAAAAAAAAAAAAAAAAAAAAAAAATTGATGTCTTAACATGACATACTGTGACAATAGAAATTGCTGTATTACCCTGTCGCCGTGAGTTATATTCAGGTGACAGTATTAAAATGTTATCCAGCTCCTATCATGTCGAGAATGATTTCCTGAGATTTTAAGATACATTTTATACTGTGATATGGTGACGTCATTATTCTGTCCTTAAGGTCGTGTTTGTTTGCCTATTTCTATATATATTTTCATAGTTAATAGTTAAGTGTTTATGTGTGACGTTTCGATGACTTGCACAGTATGTACGAGGTTGCAATGTAAAATCGACGTCAATTCTGCTGCGCTATAATCATATATGTACATCTAGTTGTCAAACCAAACCAATTTTGTTATTGAGCTACGATTTGGTTAATACCTTTCGTTTTTAAACAAGAGTCTATGTGCCCCCTCATGTCGATTAAGAGTTGGCTCGCTGCGGCATATCCACATAAACAATTTAACTGGTTGTGCTACACGAACCTTTCTCTACAAAGTGTTTGTTTGCCATTGTTGTTTGGTTGAAGTTTTTGATAAGTAAATTGAACGATCGGTTTTTGTTCCTTAATTGTAAACCAGGTTCAGGTGTCTGTGATAATAGTTTTACAAATTGTCGTAATTAAATTTTACTCTTATTGATGGTAAACCTTGCCAAGTTTAAATTTAATTGTGTTTTGCCCCTGAAATCGAGGTACATCATTAGGACATGTCGTTTGTCAGTTTTAATGTCGTTCTAAGGCCTGATCATTGTTTTATGATATAACATACTTTCAGTAAAAGACAAAAGTTTTCAATAATTATCTGTGGAAATGACCACTAAACAATACATTATAAGTTACTCATTTATTGTACGTGTTTAGAGTGTTGTAACAAGATGTCCAGAAAAGCTCACCCATTGGTCAAAGCCACGGTTGTTACCATGGAGACGACCCAACTGCTGGTTGTCCATGACGAGTTCATAATCGATGATAGCTTTATTAGCCGGAATGGTAGTAGTGAACTGGTAAAGGCCATGGGAAGGACATGTGAATCTTCCTCTTCCGACATCGTAGCCTCCGCCTTGATTGACGGTTACCGTGTCAAATTTCACTGTATGTCCGCCACCAATGTGGATTGATTTGGAATTCACGCGCGCGTCAAAGGCGACGCTTTGGTTGGACGCTTGTCGGCCTGATTGAAATGAAAAGAAAGTATTTCCTTTATAAGACCTTTTTTAGTTTGTCTGGTTATCCATAAGGTTCTCTTTACTAATTACGAATGAAAATCAGTTGAGGTTTGTGATAGGCGATAGTAAAAACCGTGCCAAGGAACTTACTGCTAAGTACAAAGTTAGTCAACGAACTTTCACGCAACCCATACGGATATTTAGAGCAGAAATTATTATTACTGTGTTGTTGTTGTTTTAAATTCAGCTGACAGTTTTATATTTGCAGTTGATACGTAAATTAAGAACAAGCAATGATTTGTAAATCATAAGATATTATCATAATCCTGAAAAGCTCAAATGTGTTTTGTCTTACTACTAATAATAATAATATGCAGCATTTATATAGCGCCCTATATAATTTGTAAAATTAATGTAAGGCGCTTTACAACATATGGATAATAGTAATGGTTATAATTGTGAAAACAACCAACAAAGGCTTGCAATCACTTTCATACATTTAACAAGCAATGTGCACATAATTGAACAAATAAAAGGGTGGTATTTACATGACGTCTCTGCAAAGATTCTAAAATGCAGACGTGAAGAGGTGAGTTTTTATGTCCCTCTTGAACTTGGCCAGGGTATTTGACGTCCTAATAGCAGATGGTAAGCTATTCCACAGCGTAGCCGAAACCCTCCCAAAGCATCTGTTTCCGTAGGTCACAGTACGAGATTTTGGGACACACAACAAAGATTCTGATCCGACCGCAGCTGATCTTGACGGCTGATACAGGGTAACAAGTTCCTGTAGGTACTGAGGAGCTGTTCCATTCAGTGCCTTGTATGTGTAGACCAGAATTTTGTACTGCGACGTGTATCGTACAGGTAACCAGTGCAACGAATAAAGCGCAGGTGTGATGTGGTCTCTCTTTCGAGTAAGAGTAACTAGCCGTGCTGCAGTGTTCTGGACCCTCTGCAGACGACTAGTTAGTTTGTCAGATATACCACAGAGCAGGGCGTTACCATAATCCAACCGAGAGGTAACAAGTGAATGCACCAAAATCTTGCATGCATCTGCAGTTAGAAACTGCCGAATACAGCCGATGTTCCTGTTCTGGTAGTAACAGGATTTAGCAATAGCGTTCACTTGTTTCTCCATGTTCAGAGAGAACTGTCAAAGTATACCCCTAGGTTTTTAACAGCTGGAACTGTCTCAATAGTTCTGGTACCAACCTTGAGCTGGAGAGCCATTGTTTGCTAATGACCATTCATTGGTCGTACAGTGTAAAGCTAGTTGTCTCTATGGGATCTTCCTGTTGGCTCACATCATAATCAAGATATATAATTGCGTCAGGGCAGAACATCGATACAAAAGGCAATAACAAGAACGGGAGTGACATCAAAACTGATCCTTGACAAGTAGAGCCAAAGCAAGTTCTTTGGAAGGTTCATTGGTTTTTGCACCAAAACGGCACGCATTGCAATGTCTCCTATCAAATCAATAAAGCTATAACGAAGGCACATAGTGGAGGTTATTTTTCCGTTGGTCATCAAACCTATACACGAGGATATAATCTAAAGAGTACTTTATCACTACGTCATTATGTAGGTCACTGTCACTCAGATTTTCCGTTTTACTGACTTTTGTCAGTAGATTTTGCGTTTAGCTGCGGTTTTCAAATGTTTCCAATTTTATCTCAGCAGACACTATAGATCATTGACATAGGTATTGCTTATAATGTACTTACCTGTCAATGTATGCTGTTTCGAGTACTGTGAAAGGTTCACAGGTAATTTTTTTCTAGAGTATGCAATTCATCCTCATTTTTTATTGACAATGCATTCACAATGTACCTTCGAGGCCAACGACTCTAAGGCAACTGGAATGTAAACAAATAAAAATATCGAAAGATTTATGTAGACTATGCTAAAAAATCTAATTTGCTGTTGATAAATGTGTTATTTATATATGAACTACAGTTATACTTTGGCAGATGTATAGTTTAATGTCGGTATATCGTAAAGCTGTGTTTCCCATTGGTACCAACATTTGTGATTTCGCGGTTACGGTTTTATGCGAAAAAATGCAACACACGCAAAAACATTAACCGTCTGCAATTAATATAATTTAATGGAAATGCATTTAAAATATTGAGAATAAACTATAGGAATTTGTGTAAAAGATATATAATCTACTGTGATATATGTGTGATAAAGATATAACTTATACTATATATGTATACGTATGTGATAATGTTAATACTGTCATTAATGTTTGATTTTCTTTAGATGTATATGAGGAATTTTGTATGCACTGTTGATAACTTGTTATAACGGTATTATACACTCACCGATACGGGTGTCTGTGTCGTCGGCTGCAACAAGTTGGCCATAGCCGAGAATGGCTATTGTCCAGAAGACAGAGAACGCCATGTTTGTCTTATAAGTAATATATGTAAACTTTAATATCCTGTAATCCTATCTACACGTACGATATATAGAATTGCGTATGTCAGGACAGATAAGTGCTATAATCAGGACAGTTAAATTTTGACTTTTTGACAATTTTGACAGAAATTCCTATAACCCTATTCCTAACGTATCATCACCACCCTTTCCCCGCCTAACGTCCCCTTCTCTTTCCCGGTGCTTACAAGCAGAGTCAAAAATGGCAAATAGTTCTTAAACCTCTTATAAAAATATCTGCCATGGTATTCAGGTTGGCGATACAGACTCTCTGGCGTCTTTTCCTTAATAAGGCTAACTCGCGAATATTTTTAAGCTGTTTCATACCAAAAGTATTAACTCTTCAGCAGAACAGCAAAGGACGATGTCATTGGGGTTATTTTGTTTTGAATAAGGTTTAAAATCTGACTCAAGTGACCCAATACACTCTTATTTTACTAACTTGTTTTCAGAAAATTAAGAAGCAGAAAAATAGTAGTCTTTCCTATAAATTTGCAGGACTGTCAACTAGTTAGAGCTGTTATCTTGATCCAACTTCAAATTGAAGTATTCCGCGTCTTTTACTATTGAAGACATTTTCGTCGTTCTTGAGAAGTGTTTTAAAAAGAAACACATTTCCTGAATTTTACAAGAAGCACCATGACGAATTCCATTAGTGGTTCTGGAATTTCTAACCTTTCTGGAGCACCAAGTATTCTATGCCGGTTTATGTTATCTTTCCTTATATTTTGGTGTCTTTTGTATGCATCGAATTTCTCCACGCTGAGTTTTGTTCGTTTATTTGTTTTTTTAATAGTGCTTTCATTAATTCAAATGCAAGAGAACATAAATAGTGCTTTCATTGATATGAGAACATAAATAGTGCGTTAATAGGGTAAATTCAACTGTTCAAATTTTACAAGTGAGTTTACATGCCATTATTACAAAATAAAGCGATGCCCTTTCAATTGCAACTGTAAGGCAAATATACATTTTCATATAAACAGAAAAAACCCAAGAGGATTCCGAAAGGCTTATCCGTTACAAGAATTTATAAAAGCAATTTATTGGAAACATGAAGAAGTAAATATGATTGGACTGCCCGGATGATTCCAGTGCAAATAGCTGTATTTGCACGATTAATAACGGCTAAAAAGGATACTTAGTTTAGTTTCAACACCACTGCAGGTCGAGGACTGACAAAATTAGAACTATAAGCCAAAGGCTAACTCATACCCCCACCCAACCACCCCTGCGCTCCTATACAAAACATAATTGTAAGCTAAAGGCTAACTAAGGCAAAGGATTGCAAAGCAATCCAGTCTCCCACCAGTAATGGTTTCTTTATTTTTAGAGCTTTACACTTATTTAAGCATTTCCTTGAAATTGGCCCCGTAGCCTTGGAGGAGTTGTTCGGACAAGGATTTTTCAACAAAGGGCCATAAGTTTGTAAAACAAAAAGGGTCAATATAACAAAAAGGATACCTGGATGCATAACTTCAGGTAGTAGTTATCGTATCTGGAAACCTTCGTTGAAATCGATCCATAACTTTAGAAGGAGTTGTCCGGACAAACGTTTTCTACGACCAGACGGACGGACAGACAAGCTTATTCCAGTATAACCAAACCCCCCTTACTACATTGTCGGGGGTATACAAATTAAAAAGTATCTATTAAGGGAACCCTTTAAAGAATTTCAGTTTTGTTTTTGTGCCCTCTACTCGGGAAACGAAATCTGCTGCACCCTTTGCAACATTTGGGATCTTTTGATTTCTCTCTATTTTCACACAACCTTTTCGTTTCCTAGCGCCTCGCTTGGCAATACCTCAAAATGGCCTTAGTATTAAACGTTTGCCAAGTTGTGTCCCAAGGCTGGGACATACTGATGTCTTTGAAGATGGTTGTTAATATTCCCTGCTAAGGGTGATTGCAACGGCCATTGTCAGTATAATGTGACCGGATGGAATACTATGTTTTGGTGCCTTAGGCAAAATATTCCAGCAAGGTTGCTTTAATGTCGTAAGGAGGAAAATACACCAACATTCTGCCTTCACCACACATATACGCATGCATAACGCACATGGAGTCGCGTCTTTAAATGACATTAGGATGCTAAACCCTATAAAACCAAAACAAACCAACATTGTCTTCTACAAGATCTATATATCCGTTCAACAACAAAAATAGTTTCAGGCTAGGCTGGACATAGGCTTTATTTATAATGAAGATATGAGGTGACCACTAAAACTCGGGAAGTGGTGCCTTCCGGCCAGGATTCCTGTATCGTGCACTCCACGAAGATGTCGGATCCATACCTGTTGTTCGACCCCACATTCGAGAACTACTACCTGCGTCGCCTGATCAAAGCCCGGTTCGTTAGCCATAAAACGTCCGATTTGAACGTTGTCCATGACCATTTCACACTCAATGGTTCCATTCAACTGGGACGGAATGGTTGCTGCAAACTGATAGAGGCCGTGCTGGGGACATGTGAACCGGCCGGTCGTGTTGCTGTAGCCACCACCCTGGTTGACCTGTACACGGTTAAATACAATTGTCTGCTGATCGACATAATGGGGTTTCAAAGCGACCACTCGAGCATCAAAACCGATGTTTGGATCAGCCACTTGTCTTACTGAAAACGAAAGGGAAAAGGCGATAGATAATTATAACTGTGTTTCAATAATTTTCAAATATATTGCAATTCAACATTTCCTTTTTTGATACACAGCCCCAGTATAACGAAGGTATTACCTGCAAAGCAATATCTTAAACTAATTAGTTCTAAAATATTATCAATTCCTAGCAAATGTCTTTGAAACAACAGGGTTTTTACAGCAGAAATGTAACTAAGTCAGACCAGGATTCGAATTCGAGAACTCAAATAGCATTTCAGGTGCTCTAACCATCTGAGCTTTCTGATTAGCGGTATGTCCCTGTCCCGTGCAATGCAGTTATAAACTAAGGTAACGATAGGGTGATTCGTAAGTGTTTTTTGAGTGGGATAGGGAATCTTATGATTTTCAATGAAAACATTACTGAATTAATGAAAGTTTCTACCTGAACTCCAAAAATGTTTTTCAAAATGGAAAATTCCTTTATCTTAAGGAACACGTGTGAAGCTGGGGCTTGTAGCATTAAAGATACTGATTTGTGTTTTACAAATAGGAAAGCCATCATCATTCCAAATGGTAACGTTGCATTCATTTTTAAATCGCAAAAAAGGTCAAAAATCATTTTAAACTTCCATTGTAAAGATAATAACAAATACAAATGAGACTGCAATCAATTAAAACGCATGTTACCTTTTATCCCGTCCATTTTTGTACCATCTTGAAGTTCCTGAATTCGAAGTTTAAGATTATCCAATTGATCTGCATTTTTGTATGCAGAAAAATCTACTTTTGCTGCCAGGGTCTCGAGATCAACTACAAATATACAACGTTAGGCGTAGATTAAAATACCAGAAGCAAACTGATCATAATTGATCTAAATGTTGATATATATCTTAAAATATCTCGCGTACAATTTGGCTTTAAAGGTGTTTAGCATAAAGGAAAAACTTCCAGGGCAATCTTTTCAGGTTTCCTATCCAATTTTCTCATCTCGCTGAGTCGACCAAAAGATGAGAGTGCATTGCTTCGCCTATGCAAATCACAACCGCTACATTAGGAATTTAAAATATCTTGTAGATGCACAAAAATAAATAGTTGATTTACTGCAGATACGTGACAAAGATTTAATTTGCTGTTAATAAATGTGTGATAAATATATAGACTATGACAAGATATATGATCAAGTAATTTATAATTTCTATTAGATATTTATAATATATATATATATATCGTATAATTTATGTTTAATATCGTAAACGATTCAATTTATGAATGAAAGATAATATAATTTACTATTTAAAATATTTGTGAGACATGTATATACTGCGATAATGCGATACATATTGAATGTATTGTAGAAACACATGTAATAACGTTACAATACACTCACCAATACGAGTGTCTGTGTCATCCTCTGCAATCAGTTGGCCATAGCTGAGGATGAATATTGTCCAGGCGAAAGCATGCTTCAAAGCGACCGCCATGTTTGTCTACCTAAGTAACAAACGTAAACTATACTCTATTCTTATCTATTCACAAGGTAGATGTTGTTCTCACTTTATTGAATTGTGTTAGTCCGTTGTCCTTATATCAGGACAGATAGATAAGTCATGACTTGACTTTGTTGTTTTAGTGTCTCCTCGGTACCTGTTATTGTCTTTCCGGTTCTACTTTGAATCTATATTGTGTGGGTTGATGTCATGCAGCTTCTATGTAGTGTACTTAAGAAATATACTTATTAGTATAAACCGAATTTTATTTCGTAAACTTGCAGTTACAATATACAGACCATTTACTAATTACATACACGAAATAGGATCCAGAAACAAGTTATTAAACTAAACTTATATCAATATGTTTCCTTAGCAGAAATAATAATGGATAACAGAGACTTGAAGTGGAAGAAAGAGGAGAAGAAATAGGAAGAAAAGAAAGAATAGCATTTGCCAATGAACCAAACGTTAACGTATGTAAATGTCATTGATGTTATAACGGATTTATAACAGTGGAAAATGTATGCTGTGTACTACTACAAAGATGCTACGAAAATACCAATAGCATATGGCACAACTGATTTGAGAAAAAACCCAGGCGCGCGCACAACAATACAACCTCACACACACCCTCACACATGCACACACAAAACCGAGGTTTGTATGAGTGAAAAACTTGGGTGTATAAATTAAATAGGTAAAAAACGTTTTGAATAAAAGTTTGTACACAGTTAAATATATTTCGATTTTGGGCAGGTGAAAGATTGTTGTCACCAAACAGGAGGGTTTCTACTGAGTTATGATTTTGTATTGGCCTGAAACTATTTGTCTAATGTGTTCATAGTTCCGACAAGATAATAGATAATGATCGTTTGTCTCACGACAGGAACAGAGTGGGCTCCCTACTAGATTTATATGAAAAAGATGGCCGTTTAGTGAACTATGAAGCCTGGCATGGTAAATTTGGCATATTCTAGTACCGCAGAAGTACTATGATTCTTTTTATAGTAAGTTTCTGTTAAGACGTAGCTTTAGTTTTTTATGGATGCGTCAATCCGTATGCCTTCAGGGAGTTCATTCCATAGATTGACAGAAACAGATAGGAAAGATTTTTGATATAAGTTTGTTCTACAACGTACATATCTAAATCTATTTGCGTCTCTAGTGTTATGTTGGTGGATGTGCGAATGTCGTTCTGGGAGAATGTTTCTAAGATTTGTGGGGTAATTTTGTATACTATTTTGTGGAATTGTATGATTTTGTGGTGTTTCCGCCTACAAGAAAGTGTTTGCCATCCTGTTTCTTTGTAAAGGGTTGCATGACTAGTGAGATTGGTGCCTCCTGTAATGACGCGTGCAGCTTCAAGTTGTATATTTTCTATCTTTTGTGATTGTAGGTTGGTCAAATTGTCCCAAACAATATCTACATACTCTAACATCGGTCTTCTAAAGGTAAAATACATATGTTTGGCGATCGACACTATACTTTAGTTTTCTGGGTAAATTCAATTTAGCAGATGCCTTTTTAACAATATATTCAATATGGCATTGCCACCCATCATCACATGAGAAAAATACACCCAGGTGTTAACGTGCATTCACGTCGTGTAATAGATTATTATTCATTGAGGATGGACTGGTTTGTTTGCTTTTTTACTAACAATCAAAGTTTCTGTTTTTAAAGCGTTAAAATTAACGAGCCATTTTTTGGAATTTTGGACCAATTAAATATTTTTTTCAAGTCCCTATTCAAGACATCAGCACTATCTGTGGGTAAATCGACTGTAGCATATAAAGATGTATCGGCGGCAAATAACCTAATAATTGATTGAATATTGTCAGCTATATCATTAATAAACACTAGAAATAGTAGTGGTCCTAATATAGAACCATGTGGGACGCCTGCATTGACTTTTTGCCAAGACGAATACTTATTATTGATGACAACTCGCTGCTTACGATCCGAAAGATAGTTTAAAAACCATGACAACAATTTACCAGTAATTCCAAAACTGCGTAGTTTGGTTAAGAGACCACGGTGCCAAACAAGGTCAAAAGCCTTATTAATGTCGAAAAGACCAATGTTATTTCTTTTCCGTTGTCAAATGCATTGTCTATGTCATTGGATATACTTAGAAGATGGTTTATAGGAGAGTCTCCAGATCTGAACCCGGACTGAAGAAGATAACAATCGATGACGAAGGAAGAAATTATAGATATGTTTGTATACGCATCTTTTCATTAACTTACCAAGTATAAATAAAAGAGATATAGGTCGATAGTTTTTACACAGTGTCCTATTATCTTTTTTTGTATACAGGAGAAACATTTGCTTTTTTCCATTCGCATGGAAATATTGATTTCGATAATGAGAGATTGAATATAGTTTGGAGCGGAAAGCACAAAATATCCACAGCTTCCTTTAATAAGCGAGGACTAATCGAATCAGGACCAATAGCCTTTAAACAATTTAGACAGCGAAAGATATCCACAATTTCTTCCAGTGTGATTAGAATATTGTTCAAGTTATATTCAGTGACATTTGGAATGGTAGGTTATTCAGTTGCGGTTTCGTCAATATTTGATTGCATACAAAAATAACCATTATAACGTTTGCTTTCATAGTATCATCAGTCAAAATGTCACCATCGACAATAACTAAAGGTATACAACTTTCCTTTTCAGAATTCGACATAAAGCTGTTAACTGTTTTCCACCAAAATTCCCCACTCGTTGAAGACTTTCTTAAATTTTCACAAAGTTTATTGAAATATTTGGTCTTAGCCTGACGTATAGCTTTCACACATTTATTACGGGGTTTTCTAAATTTTGACCATTGACTGACAGTACTTGTCGACTTAGCTTTACGATGGTGATATTTTCTTTTACGTATACGTTTTCCAATATTGTTTGACATCCAAGGGGGGGTCTTTTCGCCTAATTGTAATCAACTTATAGGGAATACATTTGCTAGCTACTTCTATCCAAAACTGTATTAAATTCCCTAACCGATTCATCTACGTCGTTAATATTGATGATGTCACCCCAGTTAACTTCTGAAAGTTTCTCACGGTAAGGTGCATAGTTTCAATGTGCGAATAGCCGTATGTGTCTCGAGAAGGACGGATGTATTGGTTTAATGAATTAAGACAGCCATAGACCGGACAATGATAACGAATCGGTGGATCAAGGAAGCTTTCACCAAAATATACTTATTAAATAAACAGACAACATTATACGTTACTTTCGAAGATTTGATTCTAGCAGATGCGATACAAACTTACTTCCTCAAACCCTCTCAAACTACCTGCAATGTATTCTTTTGAATATCGTGTGACGAAAAAAGTGAAGCAGTTCTTAATTGTAGGGAGTATGATTTTGGCAAAAGATAATGCAGTTTTGTTTTTCTCAGAATTATCCTTCTAGGTCTTTGTTCAATACGGACGCCCCTTCCTTACGTATTTGTCTCATTATATTGTACTAATATAATATTAAGCATTACAAAGTTCATCTGCAATTTGTTTTAACGAGCTTGATGCGCCAGGCTCTGGTAAACATAACAGAAACTTAGGGACGAGTTTTCTATAATGTCACATAAAATAGAAACTTTTTTGAAATATTGTTTAATATTTTAACATCACTTGGTAATTGTCATTGCTATTTGGATTGCCTTAAGAATCACCGTACAACTGCAAAAAAACATTGTACCTATGAATTAGAAACATTTTCTTTTCTGGGTAATTTCCTGCAATAGGTCAGGTATCCTCTATGAAATGGGATAGTCGCCTTACCAACGACGAGGTCAAACAGTGTCTCGTTTGTGTGGCAACCTCAATGATAATGCCGGTCACAAAGTCAGGATTGTCGATTTCTAATGGAGAAGGTCATAATTTAACCTTTGCTTGTTTCTCACGACATACTGACCTATCAATACCAGTCCAAGTTGGTCCGGACTATCTTCATCACGATTGTACCTTTACGTTTCGTTAAAAGAAGCATACATTGCTTCTAAATAGGGGGAGGAACACCATTGGCTTACAACAATGTCATTTTCCAACAGAAACCGTCAGAAGTTGGAGTTTAAATATATCTTTAAACAGAAAGGTGTCAATCTTTTCAAAATATGTAAGCTTTACCATGAACTTTAAAATTAATTAAAAAGTCATTCAATATATTGATGAATGTGCAAAACTAATATTGTGGTAATAAATATAATAATGATTCCTGAATGGATGTATTTTGGAAATATATCTGACAGATATAACTTGCAAAAAGAAAAATAAATTCGCTAATACATATATTTACGGTAGAAACCTAAATATGTATAAGTGTTACTTTACCGCTCGATGACACAGGGAACCCTGTTTCAACTGTGATATATCACGCTATTTCGTTAATAATCGAGTCAAGATGCTTCATTTTTTGATAAAATGGAAACATATTTTCCCAAGGTCAGTTCCCCTTTTTCTAACTTATTGTTAACTTTTAAATAAATATAAAATAGAAAATATGTTTCGGTTGACTGCATCATATGTCACAATGTTCCTGTTGTATCAATTATTATACCTACTGAGTATCAGGAAATGTTGCCCAGGTCAAATGTTCGCCCTTCGATAGTAAATGTAATTTTGCCACATAATAAATTCACCCTTCACATTTAGTTACTAAGTATATAGTGTTGTTTTAAATGTTCGCTGTAATGGAACATTCGCGTTCATTACGGAGGGCAATAGTCAAACTATAACGAAAACCTCCCGGTATACAGTAGGTCAGCCGGCTATAAAAACTGTCTCAAAAGTTATATTGATGTAAACAATGCATGTATTTGTTAAAAAAGCAGACGGCGGCCTGGTAATCCTGGCGCCCCATTACAGCTCTGGCAATACCGAAAACTATTCATCTAATCAGCGAGAAATGAATCCACGCGTATTGATATTTCGGCCTGCATAGCTAACCCATATAATGGTGACGTAATTCGTTCTGATATAAAATACCATGCCCAATTCTGATTGGGTGTATATTTAACATATATATTCTGCAACACACATTATTTAAGTATTTAACTGAATTTAGGAAGATTAACATGAGACATACACATGTAATTGCCCCTACACAATCTGCTAATTGATAGTATACCATAATTGCCCCTATACAATCTGCTAATTGATAGTATGCCATAATTGCCCCTATACAATCTGCTAATTGATAGTTTGCCATAATTGAATTCTTTCTGGGACTCATCGGTGATGCTAGAGGCCAACAAATGGAAATCAGAATTTGTCTAACCTACTGTTACACCATAACGGGAGGTGCATAAAGGCCCTTGGTTTCAATAATTCGAGGATTCCTCGATGTATGTAATATTTTACATTTTTTTATTAGATGTGACGAATGTTACATAAATTGTTACATGCGTTAAATACTTTAATGTTAATATTGATTTATTATATGTGGTTGTTTTATGTAGAGCTCTACCTGTATTTCAAATTGGTCGTCAGTTTAAATATAAAGCTAAAATGCCACCTCAAAATGAGACTTGTAATTATGGTTCTAACAATGGGTGAATGTGGTAGGTTCTGGCCCCTTGCCGGGATACTGCAAGGTGGCAGTTTTTATTATATATACATGTATATATATACCATATGAATACCATAAGAAAATTTCTTTAATTTACACAGTTAAAATTCCACAATTTAACAAACATACACATTTCACACATGTATTTATAACGTTATGAACGGCACCACTTCATTGTAATAATCTATGAAGCAATCGAAAGTTTTCTGGCGTATGTTTTTTTTAACCTTTTCATACTATTCGCCTTTCATTTTGAAACTGCGCATTTATAACATCACTAGTAAAGTTAAGGTTTGGAAGTGTGTGTATCAGGAATTCGATTCCTGTAGTTCTTCATTTCTTAATTGCAAAATAGGTTTTATATTAAACTTAATTTTTAGAATTAAGTAAGATAAGTTCTATTATGGCTTTCTGACATGTTTGTCACTTACTAGTATTCAATTTTGTGGCACATAAGATATTATGATAATGGTTTTTATTTTTACATATATTATAAATATGTATATTATTATCATATGAATACACAACATAACGTTTTATTCAATGATAATTATTTATTGTCAGCCTTTGTCACTAGTACATATGAATGAGATGGCCGGAGAAGGTACAGAAACCTCCCGGTAGACCAAATCGAGAATGAGTGGCCTGCCTGATCAACACCTGTTCACCTTTATTACAGTGTGTGACGGCAACCTGTGTACCCATGTCGTACTCGTAAAGAGTCGCGTGGAGAAAGGCGATGCTAGCGGATCCCTTCATCATCTGAAAAAGTAACGCTTTATTTTATCTCATGCTTACTTAACGGTGCCTAGCTTTGCTTACAGTTTGGCGGGTAACCATGATTCTGTCGATTTGTATCGACTGTAATTTGCATGCTGTCCCGTGTGTGTTGATGCGGTTGGATATACTTTTCATACTTGAAAATGTCTATTTGACAGAAGAATCATATAAAACCAAATCATTTTCCTTGTGATGTTCCAAATACAATATTAACCAATATGTCGACACTTACTTACAAATTAACTTGGTGGAAATGAATAAAACTTTACACTTTTAATTAGAATAAATGATCTCAAGAACAAAAGGAAGAAAAAAGCGCCCCGTTGTAGCAATAAACCTTAATTCGAACTAAGAGTGGCTAAAACTAGGCCAAAAGATTTACAAAAGATTGACACGGCGACCGTTGAAAAAGACGGAGATAATAGGACCATGCGTTCCGGAAGCGTTTTCTGCTTCGTGAAGATATTTGCAATATACCTGGAAATTGAGGTTGCTTTGTTCTCCTGCTGAAACAATAGTGGAAGCAAACTCGTACAACCCGTCGTAAGGGCACGTAAACACCCCAGTATTGCTGTTATAGGCATTGTGCTCATTCACACCGACCTGCTCAAACACTATAGTGTGGTAGATTGGTATATTGGTGAGGTTCCCAAGTCGGGTGGCCGTGAAAGCAACGACAGGGTCGCCTGCCGCTCGCTTCTCAACTGTTAAACAAAACACAAAACATAACTGATAAGTCTGTGTATATTGCAAAATAAAAATTCCGAAAAGATTTGGAGATGGATGGGACATTAAATATTTCATTCTAACAGTATGTATGGATGTGAACCTGTATTGGGATACGCATAATTATAACTTATTTTTCTCTCCGAGATTTCTGAAACTCAATTTCGAAAATAAGAACCGTGAATGTTAAGTAATTTAAAGTGTATAAGAGAGATAATAAGAAAACGTATATCAGAAATATCTACAAACAAAATTATAGTAAACATGCCTGCAGAGTAAAATTTCCAGCAAATACATTACAAATAAATGTGTATAATAAATCATTTTGAGTACCATTATGATACTTAAGATACAATTTTAAAGCACTGCAGTCATACACATTTCTGTACACCGCTTATCCCTTCGAGTTTATTCTCGCTAAGTTTTAGTTAATTTTGATTTGATTTCGTCAATGTCTATTTCTCTGATTTGAACATTCCAACCGTTTCAATATTATTTGCGAAATCATATTAATTTGGTAATTGTCATCTTAGTTTCTCAATTTATATTTGGTCGTACCCGATAAAGCGTTCTTTAGGTTGTCCTCTGATCGTTCGACCGCCACTATCTTTTGTCTCAGAACCTCGATGACGTTGCTCTGGTGTGTTGTCTTAGTCTGCACCCTCTGGAGCATCTGTTCTAAGGCGTCTGAAGGCAAACAATAGACTGATTGATAACCATGTATTCTAAGTCAGTAAACATGGTATAGATAGGAATGGATGAACGGTATAAACGTGTTCCAAAAAAGCCATTTGCTGTAATAGAGGAAAATACATATTGTAGATAAAAAATGAATATATAAATAAAGGTAAATAGATAAATAAATAACCCTTGATAATAATTCCGAAATAGACAGCAGGCCTTTTCTACTACGAGTAGGTCATAGAAATCATGTAGTCATAAACGTTTGTGTTTACGTCGCCTCTTCCTCACACCTGTAAGGTATGTACTTGGAATAAGGGTACCCGTTTATGCACTCATTATATAGATTAAACGTTTAGAGATATTTGATAATATATGAACCATTTCCCATAAAGGAAACATTTTGTGTAGCGAAAGTAGATGGAATCTTTGAGAATCTAGGCACGCCTCCGTTCATAGATGACTGTTCATTGCATTACGAATTGTTTACAGCACGTCGATCGTGGATTCTCAGCTAGAGCTGGGTGGTGACTTGTACCTGCATTGATCATCGGTTTCATCTATCTACAGTGTGTTCCTATGAGAAGTTACACCGCGTGGTCTTTATAAAGTTGAGTATCCTAAGGAACTAGCCGATACTAGTCACGGCGAAGACATGAATATTGATAACAAAGGATAACTTACCTACCCGGCTTTCATATTCCTGGCAGCGAACTACAACAACAAGTGTTAGGACAATCAACCACTTCATTCTTGTTTTTGACAGTTCAGGTGTGAAAAGTTTGTTTCTTGGACAATAAGTCAGGTGTAAAACCAGAATGTAATGTGCCTGTCTTATCAGTGGGCAGGAGGCTTGTTTCAATTACTTATCGCCTGGACGTTAGACTGTCCCACATAGCTGTCTAAAGAGGTGATCATCATGCTGGTATTATTTGGAATTCTGACAATTCTGTCCTCTGTCAGTTGCAGTTCATCTGACCTGCATCAACGCATTGGTAAGTGTTCAAACCACAAGCTTTTCATTAAGGAATTGTTATTTTAATTTTTTTTCTAGAAAACGATTCAGTAATATTATTTACATGCAATTCTCTGATTGAAAAAAACCACACCTGTATTTTACATTTTGAAAATTAATAACATTGTTTAATGCAAATAAAGTATAGAAGAAAATGTATTGCTTAAGTCTATTAACGAAATATTTAAGGTACGTATTCGACAATGTTTTATATTATGAGTACTGTCAAAACTCATGGTTTCATTTCAACTATGTGTTAATTATGTATGAAAGGATGTTGCTTTTAATGTTTTGGTGTTTCTAAAATGAGAATTAGTGTCATTTGACTTGCTAGGTAATCTTAAGAATGAATGGCACAAGGCTGAAGACGTGGTGGAGCAGCAAGCTCGTGAAATCCAATCTCTGACTGCCCACCTCCGAGCCAAGGAAATGTCGGTTCGCCAACTCAAAAACACACTCAGTGAGTCAAAGTCTGTCACGCTGTTTTCTTACGACTGGTATTATGTCAAAATACATTAAACTTTCAAGCAACACCAAAGAAATGTATCGGGTTAAGAGAGAATGTTCCAATTATATCAGCTTTAACTGACATTGTCATTAAATACATAAATCTAATCGAAATGTTACTATAAAAACATATGTTACATGTTCGAACCTGCAGGCCGATGCTGCGTTTGAGTTTGGTTTTATTTTTGTTCTCATTTTATATTTGGGACGTCAAAATGACAACAGGAGTCGTAAAGTACATTTTATGTAGTTACGCCCCTCCTCCCTGTACAAATCTATGAACGACTTTGTTTAAACAATTTCTGGCGAAAGTTGATGGAATCTTTGAGAATCTAGGCACGCTTTATGAAAAGTACAACGCCATTGCCTGGAAAATAAAACAGGGGAAAGATAGTCTAAGGTAAAAATACAGATAAAAGTACCGCAGTATCAACATACCAACACAAAATGCATCACAGCGTAAACACATATGATAAAAATGCGATATCGCATCAGCAACGACAAGATACTACAGTCTCATATCATATGGACGAATTATGCTACAGGGTCAAATATAAGGACGAAATATGCGAGAGGACGAAATGGAGTGTCCATACCCACACGAAATGATAACAACAAGGGCAGAAGATCTCTTGTTGATTTGAGGTAACATGTGAATGTCCTCTGTGAGATATTTATTATTATTGGTTGGTTTTATTTATTTATATCAATCCAACAGGACAAAATGCCCAGTTACATGTTTGATAGCAACAGTTTGCATATATAAAATATGTCACAATATCACAGCCGAAATGCACATTATAACACATAAGTACATGTAGATGCACACATTACCATCAGTATACGTAGAATGGATTAAAAACAATTCATCACACAACTGACCCAGTTTATTATGTCGTACGGCCATGTCATAAATATGGTATTACACATGTGAAATAAAACCCACAGGTGCCGCGATTAGTCAAAACAGTGGGAACATATGCCTACTCCGCTACAGGTACTACTTTTATTTAATATACCACAAGATATATTTACTGTTATTCTTTATGAATTTGCAATGTTTATTTAAAACTGCTAATTATTTTTGATTTTTTTTTAAAACAATCTCGAACTACTTTGCACTGCGCGGACGACAATACTATGATCGGAGTACTTTGGTTTTGACTTAAATAATATAAAGGCTGGTGTCATATCAACTTATTGAACTCATTTAGTAAAGTCAATATGATATGAACACTCATGTAAAATCCGACATATGTGTAATTTCTGCTTTAATCTTGTTTAATGATCCGCTAAAAAAACTATCAGGCTGAACATTGAAAAAATCTAAAATTGATCTCACACCGTATTAAAACACTGTTTTCCTGACCTCAATACGGTTAAAAAGCCCCGCACAGTTTGACCTCAGAAACCATTTAGAAAAATGAAACTAGTTCTGTTTACAATATATTTACTGTCAAAGATACTATTCACACAATAACATAAAAAGGACCAAATCATCTTAATAAACTCTACGTTTTAAAAGGAAATAATCACAGAATTGTCCATAAGATAAAGCATCAGTCAACCATTGCTATAAAACATAACAAAAAATAGAATCTTTCTACTGAATCTCAATTGTTTTCTGTTTTTAATTGATGTACCACAGCCGTGCGACATAACACCACAATTCACAAGCATATTTTAGTTTGCTACTGACCATACCAATATACATTGTATAGAGAATATATGGCGGATACAATGTATATCAATAAATTGTCTGCGCATGTAAGTTTAAGGATACCAAATGTTTCATGTCTTCACTGTTGAAAAAAAATTCAATGATTTTTTTAATGAATTTCAAAGGAGAATAACGTCGGACTAACTTTTCTTTCTATAACACTACACGCTTTATACGATTTCATTACTTTTTTGATAATTGTACAGAAATGTTACAAAGCAAAAGTAATAGTACAAATAATAGGTAGGATACCGTAAGCTAAAGAAAGTTACAGGTGTGGTTTTAACCAAAACATATTTCAATGTACACCTCAACTTCCAATACTCTTTAACTGTGAAACTCAACAAGAATGAGGAACTTTAAAGGCTATATTGGACGTAATTACAGTGGTCTCCCTTTGTCTTGTTTAAACCTTTAACACATTGTTAACTTAAACATTGAAATCATTGTAAGTATCTGGGCGTACAAAACTGGGAAACGTTATTTTATGACAATAATAAAACAAGTTTTATTAACCTAGTTAGGTTGGATGGACTCGCAAAGGGTGAGTAAAACTGACGTAAACATATGGAAATGTACACTGCTAAATTTACAGTCTTGCCCTCCACATTAAAAGAAACATCTTTACTCAAGTGTATCAGGTAAAATGAAGATAATTTGCTACAGTCTTGGTCTTTTTAGATTTTGAGCAACTCCTCCATTGTAATCTTACAAAAACAATTGTGAATATCAGACCAGTGTTTAGACAGAAATGCTCCAGAGCCAATATTATTATTTCAGTATATGGATAGTTACGTCATCACACCACGTGATACACTGATTCATGCATTCGTCCACTTAACATATCAATGTTGTTTCTTCAGTACAACTTAAATTCCTACATGGCCAAAATGGCCGCATGGTGCAGTAAAATGTTTACTTTGTTTGACTCTCTGCATCGACTTATTTTTCATATGTCTTGTGGTTTCTCTATTAAATTATACAAGACCGCGGTTTTGTGTAAACATCATTTTGTTTTTGTAGCATAACAATTCTGCAGTTAATAAGAGGAATGAATATAAGCTCCATTCTTGTTTTCCAATTCCTTTGAAATAACGTGTGTATAATAACGTTGCATGATTATTGAATAAAATACTGTTTAAACGAATCATTACGTTTTTAGCAAAACGTCAGGACTTAAACCAAAAGATCGGATTCACAGCTAAACTTACCCAGATAGTTTCTCACCTAAATAATCATCAGACCATCGTCTTCGACCACGTACTCACCAACATTGGACAAGCATACGACCCTGCAACGGGTATTTTCACATGTCCCTACAGGTAAAACCACATACGTTGTTAACATTTCATTGACTTATTTTAAATACTTTAAATGGCGATCCTACATTATAATTATGAAAAGAATACTTCCCCTTATCAATCTCGAGCTATGATAGATTGCATATCATAGCTACAATGCTGTTCTGTCTCTGTCCTGAACACAATTACGTGAAACACACGCAAAATGAACGTCAGTATCCATAATACAATGGCATTACCTGACAAGTGTTTATTATGTAGTGGCCCGTCGAAAAATATACCAATCAGTATCAAGTCAGAAAACCTTTTTTCTCTCTTTGTAATATTCCAGCAAATCAGAAGCCCTTCCATTAATACTTGTATCTTTACCAACAGCGGGTTGTACGAGTTTGCGGCAACCGTTGTCTCAAACGGTGACAACAAGAACCTGGACGCTGAGATAGTCCAAGGGGGTAAACGAGTGGCTCGCCTCCATTCGACCATCTACGGCTATGACCAGGGGACGCAGGTCGTCATCGTTCGCTGTGTTGAGGGCGACCATGTCTGGGTCCGCCATTTTGGATCTGCAGACACTCCCGTGCTTCCCGCTGGGTACAGCATATTCGCCGGCCATCTTATCCACATCGACACATGAATGTGACGTCATTCTTCAATAAATTCGTCATCAATTTGTTATCTAGTTTATGCGTTGTAATTTATTATTGAAGAAATGGCATTCGTCAAAGTTGGTGTCTGTGTTTTCTACCTTAAATCGTGTGTCTCAAATACTCGATAATAGTAGCTGATTCCACGAACAGGTAGGGAGGAGAAATTTCTATTGGTAAGCATAACTTAAATTACGGAACATTTACTTCGCATATATAAGATTTTCCTCAGACCTAAATAATGCTTCCCTGTGGAAAGTGTTATCCTATTTACAACGCATGGTACCCCTGCCTGCTTATACTACCATGTCCAGGTTAAAACTTTTCAGTGGGATGACACTTTAAATTTACCTTTAGTGGCCTTACCATCCGTGGACATCGTCTTCTTTAAAATGACCTTTAGTGGCCCAACCATCCGTGGACATCGTCTTCTTTAAAATGCCTTTTAGTGGCCCAACCATCCGTGGACATTGCCTTCTTTAAAATGACCTTTAGTGGCCCAACCATCCGTGGACATCGTCTTCTTTAAAATGACCTTTAGTGGACCAACCATCCGTGGACATCGCCTTCTTTAAAACGTTCTTTAGTGGACCAACCATCCGTGGACATCGCCTTCTTTAAAACGTCCTTTAGTGGACCAACCATCCGTGGACATCGTCTTCTTTAAAATGACCTTCAGTAGACCAACCATCCGTGGACATCGTCTTCTTTAAATGACCTTAAAGGCCCAACTATCCGTGGACATCGTCTTCTTTAAAATGACCTTTAGTGGCCCAACCACCCATGGACATCGTCGTCTTCAAAGTTGCCTTTAGTGGCCTAACCAACCGTGGATATCGTCTTCTTTAAAATGACTTTTAGTTGTCCAATCATCCGTGGACATCGTCTTCTTTAAATTTACCCTTTGTGGCCCAACCATTCGTGGACATCGTCTTCTTTAAAACGACATTTAGTGGCCGAGCCATCCGTGAACATCGTCTTCTTTAAAATGACCTTTAGTGGTCCAACCATCCGCGGACATCGTTTTCTTTAAAATGACCTTTAGAGCCCAACTATCCGTGGACATCGTTTTCTTTAAAACGTCCTTTAGTGGCGCAACTATACGTGGACATCGTATTCTTTAAAATGACCTTTAGGGCCCAACTATCCGTGGACATCGTCTTCTTTAAAATGACCGTTAGGGCCCAACTATCTGTGGACAGCGTCTTCTTTAAAATGACCTTTAGGGCCAAACTATCCGTGGACAGCGTATTCTTTAAAATGACCTTCAGTGGACCAACCATTCGTGGACATCGTCTTCTTTAAAATTACCTTTAGTGACCCAACCATTCGTGGACAGCGTCTTCTTTAAAATGACCTTCAGTGGACCAACCATTCGTGGACATCCGTCTTCTTTGAAAATACCTTTAGTGGCCCATCCATCCGTGGACATCGTCTTATTTAAAATGACCTTTTGGTAGCCCAACAATCCGTGGGCATCGTCTTCTTTAAAATAAATCTTTAGTGGCCCAACCATCCGTGGGCATCGGCTTCTTTTAAATGACCTTTTAGTAGCCCAACAATCCGTGGGCATCGTCTTCTTATTATGGCCCAACCATCCGTGGATATCTTCTTCTTTAAAATGACTTTTAGTTGTCCAATCATCCGTGGACATCGACTTCTTATCATGGCCCAACCGTGCGTGGAGATCTTCTTCTTTAAAATGTCCTATTAGCGGCCCAACCATTCGTCGACATCGTCTACATTAAAATGACCTTTAGGGCCCAACTATCCGTGGACATCGTCTTCTTATTATGGCCCAACCATCCGTGGACATCGTCTTCTTTTAAATGACCTTTTAGTGGCCAAACCATCCGTGGGCATCGTCTTCTTTAAAATGAATATTTAGTGGCCCAACCATCCGTGGACATCGACTTCTTTAAAATGACCTTTTAGTGGTCCAACCATCCTAGGGCATCGTCTTCTTATAGTGGCCTAAGCATCCGTGGACATCGTCTTCTTTAAAATGACCTTTTAGTGGCCAAACCATCCTAGGGCATCGTCTTCTTTAAAATGACCTTTTAGTGGCCCAACCGTTTATGGACATCGTCTTCTTATAGTGGCCTAACCATCCGTGGACATCGTCTTCTTTAAAATGACCTTTTAGTGGCCCAACCGTTCATGGACATCGTCTTTAGTTAGTCTTAGCTGTTACAAGGAGGCAAAACAACTGAAAAATTGACCGGACAAATGAAATTTCTATCGAAAACTTTATTTAAAGAATTTTCGTATGTTAAGAAACACTTGTAAAACTAAAGTCCAGTCACTTTTTGTAATTTTCTTGCTTTCAATTGCAATATTAAATACTTCGCTGCTTCATGATAAAGAGGATAGTACTGTTTACACCGTCAGTTTGTTAACTTTAACGGAAGAATATCTCAACAGATTGAGGCTATTTAACGGATAATGAATATAAGCGAGATATGATACTGAGACGTTCGATATTCTTTAAATTTACATTCAGATTGCTAATGACGTTTTGTCATTTAACAGCAGGAATGTCAAGAACTAATTACATTTCTGCTCTTAAACCTCTAAATTACAGACGCCGCAGTTCTCCTCCGTCGATAGAAATTTATCATATTATGATGTTCTTTGTATTAATATCAAATATAAGTTAGATGTATTTGTAAGCAAAGAGTTCAATACAGTCTTAAATGTTAAGAACATACATTCGAACCTTTATTTTTGCATCAATAACAAAAAAAGTATGTTTTCATATTTCTACGAGATTTCTTTCGGCTCATGATTCATTCTTAACATTTTTAACGAAATGATAGGACAATATATTTGGGGGAATAATGTTATGTCTTCTTTGGTCATCAGTTCCGCAAGGAGAAAAAAATCAATTGGAAGCCATCCGACAGTTCTAACTTGACGTCGGGACACGAACACTCCCTCATTAGTAGAATAGTTTGACGGAAAGACCGGAAGTTTCCAATTTGAAATTGTTCAGGTTATGCTTAGACAACAAACAATTCAGTTGTTGGATTGATTAGGAAATATTTCTCACTAAATAATATATACTAGACAACATATGACTGCCCCTTGCTAGTTACTCGGTATTCATAACATGATCGAAGGAGGCGACTTATGTGGGGTTCTGTATAGTTAGGGATATACCCTCTGCATCCATCGCTTCCTGAACATCGAAGAAACGAAAACAGATCTGCTACTCCCAATGCTGCATGTAAGTTACAAATGTATATATCTTTACCACACATTTAATGGGTGCATTACCGTATTTCCTCAAGATATTAGATAAATACAATAAATATAACTGTATTAACATTTTTTCAGTGGAGGGTTGATGGGTTGGGGGTCGGCAACTCATTCAAGCATATCGAGAACGTTTATTTTCTATTGGAAATTATTCGAAAACGACCGAGACGGTTCAAAACGCCTGAGAATAATATATTCTGCTGTGTCAATATGATAACATAAATAATAATAATAAAATATTTTATTCAAGTGTCACACATATTTTACATAACACATCACTTACATAATAATAATACACATATGCAAAATATGCCCAGTCAAACTGACTTCCGAGACACTACTTAAAATGTATATTTATGTAAAGTCGTTCATTCCTCAGTTATACACAAGATTTGGGTTCATTGGTTTATTACATGTCCAGTAGATAAACCTAAAATACAATATATCAGTATTAAAATATATGGGTCGAACTAAGTACGAAACTAACGTTTACAATAAATGCGAAGGTCTATCTACACTATTTAATTCTTCTTTCGCTTTATAAGGTTCGACGTTATTATATAGTATCATATTATATTATATAATATTGCATTATATTGCACTGTGCTAAATTAATGTACACTTACATATTTCTACTACAATGATAATGACTTACCAGAGGCCTTGAAAGGTCCGTCCTGCTCCGACGGAGCACAGTGCAGAGTGCGGTGGGAAGGTTACGGGTGCGTGTGTATACGACACCCAGGGTGGCGTGAGTATTGGAAATACTCGTGCAATCGCATTCGCTCGACCTTACACGTATTCGTTATGAAACGGGTACGATAGACAACACATACACGTAAACCTGCTAACCTAGTGCATCGAGTACACCCCGTTACATTTATTAAAACATAGAATCTATTAAATGGTGAAAGCATCGTAATGTTACCTACTAGAAGCAATAATATGAACCATATATTACGAGGTATATAGTCTTAAAAAATCTAAAATGCATCAAGTTTTAAATACTACCACGTCTTATTTTCATAAAAAGGGAAAACTGACTTAGCTAAGACAGGTTGTAGCGATTCTTCATTCATAAGAAAAATAAATTGTTCGTTATGGTTCATAGAAATAAATGATTGATCTAACTTACTTGCTCTTTCAAACAGAGGGACTCTAAGATCGAAACATAAGTTACATTCACATAAAAAGTGGATTTCATTCTCAATCTTTTTATCACAGAAATTGCACAGCTTGTCATTTAATGGAGAAAGGACGTGTATATCTACCCGTCTTTATAAGTAGCGGTAAGCTGCCACTTCTTAACTTGGCTAATACACTTCGGTGTGGTCTTGGCATTAAAGTGGTGACGTAATGTTCCGGTTGTAAATCTTTTTTGAATAAGCTGTATGTTCTTAATTTATTGCCGTCAATGTTACCTGTATCACACCAAAGACTGGAGAACCACGTCTCTTCATCCTTGTTAAAAAAAGTCTGTTTGATTTTTGACATAACGGATTTAGTTGAATTTGGAGCGTCATTAATAATATTGGCGATACCAAACTTACTTGCAAATATGTCCAGGAGGAGGCTGACAACAATGATTAACTTATCTATCGTACATATTACCACCATGTAACTATCTTGATTATGTTGGTCTGAGATATCATATTCCAAATGTGATTGGTGATTCCGGCGTGGGGCTGGAACCGTCATAGCGAAAGTCTGAGTTTACGTCTGGTTAAGCTGACAATGAAAATCTTGGTAAAACGTTCCCGTCTCGTATCGATTTCACGCATTGATATTTTACATTTTCAAAATGATATTTTTCTTCTTTTCATAATTCATTGTAAAAGGTTAAAATTAAACGTTACACGTCTTCATGTTTCTTATTTTAGGTGATTATATTCAAAACTACACTATCATCATTTGCGAAATAGTTATGTGATTAAATTCAATCGTAGTTATAGAAATAGATTTTCTTCGTAATTCCTACATTACAAGTTTTGAATTTCAAATATGAAGCGTAATCATTTAAATGAATATTGCATAAATCAGTCATTGCATCCTTCAGACAAACATTAGTGTTACTTTTTATTCTAATCACATTTCTATATTGTCAAAATATAGCACGGTGATCGGTTAAAAGTTTGTTAAACTTATCAAGTTATGTCCTCTCCCCTAACATACATGTACGTTCTACACATCATATACAGAGTGTTGTGTGTTAGTACTGGAATCATGGAATAAAGCTAATTAACCAAGCTGAATTTTGTGTGCGAATATTCTGGCTACTTACAATATAAGTACTCTGAATATTGAAATTAAATCTAGAATGATAATGTTTTGGTATAAACTAATTACAGGTAAAAATAAATTGTCTAGTATAATGTACAAGCTTATGCTGAATTTACATG